CAGCGACACACAATTAGAGTCACACACAGTCAGACAGTCACACACACACAGGCAGTCACACACAGATAAACACACACACACACAGGCAGGCAGACACAGTCACACACAGGCAGGCAGTCACAGTCACAAACAGGCAGGCAGAAACACACAGGCAGTCAGACAGTCACACACACACAGGCAGGCAGGCAGTCACACAGACAGTCACAGTCACACACAGACAGACAGTCACACATATGGGCAGACAGTCACACAGACAGTCACACACACACACAGGCAGTCAGTCACACAGACAGTCACACACACACACAGGCAGTCACACACACACACACACACACCTCTTTCCAGTGGATGCAGTTGGTTGTTGGGGAAGCAGGGACTCCTTCCCTCTTCCTGTGCAGAAGTTAGCAGGGGCTTCAGGAAGGTATTAGCCCCGCCTCGCGATAAGCCCCACCCCACCGCTCATTAAGCCACGCCCCCACGGCCACAATTTATTTATTTTTTTAATAGACCCAGGTGACGAATAATTAAATCCTTCACCCTGGTACCTGTTTTTGCTCCCCTGACATCGGCCATGTGCGAGCTGTGTCGGCCACATGGCGCCCCCTGCTCAATGGCGCCCTGTGCGGCCGCACAGCTCTCACACCCCTAAGGCCGGCCCTGACCAGAACCACTACAATGTAATGTAGTGGTTCTGGTGTCTATACCCTGGCCTTGCAGGCTTTATAATGTAAATGCAGCCTTTTCAGAGGAAAGGAAGTGTTTACATTGCTGCCTAGTAACTATGTTCTATTGGATTGGCTGAGATCATCAAGATTTATGATCTCAACCGTGGAGGCGGAACCATCCGCAGCGAGACTGGCGTAGCAATGGAGAAAATGCATGTTAAATACTTTTTCACTGCAATCTGAGGGAGACTGGACACGTAAACAGTCACCCCAGTGCTACAGTGTTATGAATACATGTTTGTATTCCTAACACTGTAGTATTCCTTTAAAAATGCAGTGTTGTCTACAAATAAAATACAAAATCTTACCAATAGGTAAATCTGTTGATAGAAGATTCAAATCACAGGGCAAAAAATGCATATTGTGTAAGATTTATCAAAGTGTTGCTGAGACTTTTTATGTTTAATTTTCTGTGAAAATTTGGAGCAATTTATTAAATGTAGAATTTTTTTCATCTGTTGCTTTTTTGTGTCCAGTCACCCCAGAGTAGGGACAGTCATCTGGCATGCTACATTGCTGCATAGTAAGATATACCGTATATACTCGTGTATAAGTCGATCTCATGTATAAGTCTAGTGCAGTTTGTGACCAACAATTGTGAAATATGCTATGTCTCGTGGATAAGTCGAGGGTAAAACTTGGGGCTATGAAATTCTGTGATTTTTATAATTATATACACACACACTCAAACAAACACACACACTTATACAAACACACACTCTGCATTATACACACACACACACACTCTGCATTATACACACAAACTCATACACACACTCAGCATTATACACACACACATACACTTATACACACACTCTGCATTACACTCATACACACTGCATTATACACATACACACTCTGCATTATACACACACACACTCATACACACACTCTGCATTATACACACACACACTCATACAAACAATCTGGATTATACACACACACTCATACAAAAACACACTGCATTATATACACACACACTCATACAAACACACACTCTGCATTATACACACACACACACTCATACAAACAATCTGCATTATACACACACACACACACACACTCATACAAGCACACACTGCATTATATAATGCAGAGTGTGTTTGTTTGTGTGAATGCAGAGTGTGTGTGTGTATATAATGCAGAGTGTGTGTTTGTATGAGTGTGTGTATAATGCAGAGTGTGTGTTTGTATGAGTGTGTATATAATGCAGTGTGTGTGTATATAATGCAGTGTGTGTGTGTATACAATGCAGTGGGTGTGTTTGTATGAGTGTGTGTTTGTGTGTGAACTGGGTGGGGGAGGGCATTTTTATTATTTTTAATTTTAATATTTTAATTTTTTTATTTTAGTATTATTTTTTTATTTTATTATTTACTTTTTTACTTTTAATATTTAAATTTTTTTATTGTAAAATGTTTTTCTTTATTATTTAATTTTTATTTTTGTCCCCCCTCCCTGCTTGTTAGCTGGCCAGGGAGAGGGGCTCTCTTTCCCTGGTGGTCCAGTGGATGGGATGTGTTGGAGGGGGGCTGGCAGAGAGCTACTTACCTTTCCTGCAGCTCCTGTCAGCTCCACTGTAAGTCTCGCGAGAGCCGCGGGGTCAGAGCATTGCCACGGGTTACCGTGGCAACGCTCCGCGCGGCAGTCACACCGCGAGACTTACAGTGGAGGAGAAGGGAGCTGACAGGAGCTGCAGGAAGGTAAGTAACAGCTATCTGCTAGCCCCCAACAGGACCGCCGGGCTTGTAATGAGCCCGGTGGTCCTGGTCTGTATTATGGTAAGTTGCCATAATACAGACACTGACTCGAGTATAAGTCGAGTGGGGGTTTTTCAGCACAAATAATGTGCTGAAAAACTAGACTTATACTTGGGTATATATGGTAGTTTTATCAATGCTGTGTGTAGTAGTGGGATTTACTTTGTTGATTGGCCAGAAGATTTGTGGCTTCCTGAAGAGGTTTATTTTAAAGAAATGCTTTAACATTTGGAGGACAGAGGAGTGCCTGATAGAGCAAGTCAGAGCATTCCACAAGGTGGGTGTAGGCAAGAGTGGGATAACACTGACAGAGTAAGGTGTAAATAATAAATCAAGCAAAGAGATATTTGGAGATAAAACCTGAAATATTGGTGACAGAAACATCATTGTGGGATTTTATATTATGAAGGTTAATGCAGTGATTGCAGGTGCTATTTAATCCATTCACTGTCAAGTGGTTTACAAAAAAAAACCCACTCCCAAAATCCGAATATTTTGAGTATCTTGGAAAGTAATGTTTTAACGTATTTTATCTTTCACTTGTCACATACACATAAATAAATCATGTACCACACATGGACTGCAGTTTTGACAGTATTGACCTTGTGGGTCTATATATGCCCCCACATATATTGTATATGTTGTCAGATTACCATGACATTGCCCTCACATTGCAGCCATGTTGTCTCTTTGAACACACACATACAAATACATGCACACAAATACACACACTGATACACATGTATATATGTGTGCACTCTGATGCACACACATAATCACAGTGTGTATGAGTATGTACATGTCTGGTATTGTGTGAGTGTGTATGTGCCTGAGAGTGTTTGTCGTGTAGTGAGTATCTTTGTGCATATATGAGTGTATATCTGTGTGTATGTGTATCCATGACTGTGTCTGGCATGCATATCTGTGTTTGTCCCTGTGAGCATTTGTATTGATGTGTATGGAAGTGTGTGTGTGTGTGACCTGATTGCAGTGTATTACGTGTATGGGGGGAGGGGGCTGTTTATGTTCTTCATGTGTGTGTTTTATTTATAGGAAGATTGTGTGTGAGCGGTGACTGTGTATGGGGGTTACGGTCTGTGGGGAGTTGCCTATTTATGAAGGTGACTGTGTGTGTATGAGGGTGAATGTGGCAGGGTGATTGTGAGGGGGGTTGAGTGTGACAAGGTCACTGTGTGACAGAGTGAGTGCGAAAGGGTGACCGAGTGGGGGGAGACTAAGATTGTCAGGGAAAGTTGGGGGTAGATTGTGTGTGAGGAGACTATATTTTCTCTGCAGCCTCTCCACACATTGCAAGTCTTTATTTATTTTTTGCTAAGGCCCCGTCCTGCTTTTCTGCAGTCAGGGGGCTCTAATCTTGGTGATTCAGTGGATTCACTAGTGGTCCAGTGGCCTGCCAGTGGGATCTGCACCTCCAGGTGGGTGCAAACCTCTCTGATTGCCCCGTTCCAATACCTGACAGGGAAGGAGTATCCGCAGAGAGCAGTTTCCAGCCAGAGGTGCTGCCTGCACTAACAGTTAATGCGCTTGAATGGTAGTACTGGCTCTGCTGCATGGGCAGCTATTGCACACAAAATTGGTTTGCAATAATTAAAATTGTGTATACACTAGTGGTGGCGTGAAGGGGTTAAATAATAAGTTAAGGAAACAGCACATGAAATTAGTTTGCTTGGTTTTACTGGATAAGTAGATGGAGCATTGTGAGTAAACCTACAACAAAAGGTAATAAACCTACAATAGTGAGCTAAATAAATATAAAAACATTAGATGGGTTGCAAATAGATAATAAGATTTGCCCTAAATAGATATAAAGGCTTTTTTGATGAAGTGTGCATTGTTAGGAATTCAAAGAAATTCAGAATTAGTTTTAAAGTTTAGGCCACAATAGCCCTAATGAATTTTCCAATCAGCTATGATTTCAGTTTGGTTTATTTTGATTTAAAGTTTGAAATTCACTTTGAATTCCTATCAATTCACACTTTAGTGAATGCGTTTGGTAACATGGAAAACAAACAGTCTAGGGCCTGCATCATGCAATGGTGACAGGTTTAAAACGTACGATGACAGAGAGCAAACTTTTATACGGTAATTTCAAAATGAAATACTGCACAATAATTTAACCTTAAAATAGAAATGAATTTAAAAAAAAATAAAAAATTCAAAACCACAAAAATTTTCCCAAAACCACATTACACACAAAACAAACCCTATATGTTTTAAATTGGCTTAGAAACACAAACACTATTCACTTATAACACAAAATTCACAGATTTTACTATTAACATGACATAAAGTCATGATTTTATTAAGGACACGGAGGCCAGTATTATGCATAACTCTCTCTTTATTCCCTCAGCAGCAAAGATAGAGGAATATAAATATTATCAAAATGAAAGAAAAAACTGTATAGGCACACAGGCAACCAATCACATAACAGAGAAAGTGACTATAAAAGGCCTGTGTCTCCCACAATCCCCCTCTTTCTTGCGAAAACCGAAGAACAGGAAACATGAACGATATCCTACGTGACAAGAACAGGAAACAGGGACAAATCGATAACTTCAAGCTAAAAGAGAGAGAGAGAAATATGGTAATAACCAAACTCCAAAATGAAGACTCACCAAACAATTATGTCGATTGCTACTCAGGAATTTAAACCTGTAATACAGAATATATGATTAATACATAATTGTATACAACCAAAACGTCAATGAGTAAGTATAAAATCCATGTTAATAGTAAAATCTGGAAATTTTATTAAAGACACGGAGGCTCATATTATGCAAGTTTAAAGCTGCACTATTACTTGAGATGCGATGTGCTCAATTGGTCTGAAATAGAAGTTACGGAAGGTCGATTCCCGAGACCAATCCGCAGCTTGCATAATGTCTTCTAGACAACAGCAGACCGCAGAAGCCTTCAAAGCCATACCACGTACTGAATGAGGCGTGAAGATAGAAGTGTCAATTCCGGCTAAAGATAGAGGCCAGTGCACCCAACGTTCAAGAGTCGGGGTCAATACCGGACGGTAAGGAGACCTAAATGAAACGAATAACGGATGCAAATCCAACGAACGAAGAGATCGCGTAGCATCCAGATAAGCCTTCAGACAATCCACCGGACAGAGTGCTGGACTCCCTGAGAATCTAGGGTACACAAACGACTTGGATGCTGATTTAGTCCTCCTGGATATGTTGAAAGAAACACCTTCAGGAGTAAAAGTAATGGCGTCCCAATCAAGGGCCCTGACGTCAGACACTCTCTTACACGAAATCAAGCAGAGTAGCATCACTAACTTAGAGGATAACTGTTTAAGTGTCAGTCCTTGGTTAGGGTTCCATGACGATAAAAACTGCAACATCACGTTGACGTCCCAGAAGGCAGAGAAATGAGGCCTGGGTGGGCGAGCGAGGCGAACACCCTTGAGAAGGCGACATACAAAAGGATGTCTGCCGACGGGTGAACCATCCACACCCTTATGGCCTGCCGAAATAGCTGAACGGAAAAGGTTGATAGTGCGATAAGTATTGTCCCGAATCAAACATGAGAGTGAGGAACTCCAAGATCAAATGGAGAGGTGCCGATACGGGATCCACTGACCGTCCCATGCACCAACTAGACCACGAACTCCATGAAGATCTGTAAGCTGCTCTTGTACCTGGAGCCCATGCGTTATCGAGGAGTAGGAGCCGCGCCATCAGGGGCAGCTGGCCTCGTAACACCAATCCATGCGAGTTCCCATCTAGATCCAGAAGAAGTTCTTGGAAACTCGGGATCAACCGTGGATAATCTATCGACAACTCCAGCAGTCGCGGGAACCACGGTTGAGACCTCCACAGAGGGGTGATCAATGTCAGAGAATAACTATGACGGACCAGTTTTGAGATCGTGCGAGCAATCATGTTGAATGGGGGAAAGGCATACAGGAGACCCGTCGGCCACTCCTGAAGGAAAGCGTCTGTTGCCACTGCATCCGGGTCTGGTCTCCAACTGTAAAAGTCCGGTAACTGAGTGTTCAGGCGGGATGCCAACAAGTCTATCACAAACCGACCCCATAACCTGTCTAGACTCCGAAACACCGAAACTTGTAAGTGCCAATCTCCAGAGTCTCGTAAATGTCTGGAGTTCCAATACGCACTCGAATTGTCCATAACTGGGATGTGTTCCGCTGTCACGGAAACATTGTTGTATAGACAAAACTGCCAGAAATCTTTTGCTAAAAGTGTCAACATCTTGGATTTGGTTCCCCCAAGTTGGTTTATATAACGTACCGCTGACACATTGTCCATCTTGAGGAGAACACAGCAATCTGCTCGGCCCGGAGTAAGGCTGCGAATCGCAAAGGCACCCGCCAAGCGTGCCCCCCAACCGTGTAAGCTGGCGTCGGACTCGATCACCACGTCTGGTATGGATCCAAATATTGCGCGCCCGTTCCAAGCCTCCATGTGGGCCAACCACCACACCAGTTCGTCTCTGGATTCGTTATCCAGCTGTATCCTGGAGTCGTACGAATGACCTGAACGGAGGTGCGGACCTTTCAGTCGTTGGAGGGCCCAGTAGTGCAATGGTCCTGGAAAGATCGCCTGAATGGAGGCCGCAAGTAGACCGATAATCCTCGCCAATTGCCTGACTGACAAGTCCGATACCCGAAAGGCCCTCCGAAGGTCTTTTTGAATGGCTTTCATCTTGCATTCTGGGAGGAACAGGAATTGTTGGATGGAATCCACTTTGAACCCCAAGAACTCTACCGACTGAGCGGGCGTCAGGATTGACTTGTCCCAGTTGATCATGAACCCCAAGTTCTGGAGCAGGTTGACCGTCCAGTCCACATGTACTTGCAGCTGGTCTCTGGACTGGGACATGATGAGAATGTCGTCCAGGTAAATAATGAGGCGTACGCCACACGTACGGAGGAATGTCACCACCGATCTCATGATCTTGGTGAAGCACCAAGGAGCTGATAATAGACCGAACGGTAGACATGTAAAACGCCACCGTCTCCCGTGCCAGGTGAAATGGAGGTAGTCTCTGTGTTCCATCGCGATGGGGACTGTGAAATATGCGTCCTTCAGATCTAGCTTGGCCATCCAATCCGACGCACAGAGGAGGTCTCTGAGGCAATGTATGCCCTCCATCTGAAAATGCTGGTACCGGAGGAACGCGTTGAGGGGTCGGAGATTTATCACCGGACGTACACCACCCCCTTTCTTTACCAGGAAGAGGTTGCTCGTAAAGCCTGGGGCGGTAAGCGGCAACTCTTCTATTGCGCCTTTTGACAACATCTCCTTGATTTCCGTGGAAATCATCTCCTCCTGTTCCGAGGGAAGGGACAGTTCTCTGGGGACAGACAATTGGACAGGCAGAGATACAAACTCGAGGTGATCACCCCGTACTGACTGTAACACCCAAACATCCGAGGTCATAGCTGCCCACCCCCGGCAGAATAAGGCCAACCTTCCCGCCACCCGTACTTGAGCGAGAAGGGAAGAATGGGTACTCACCATAAGGACGTCTGCCCGAAGTGGCACCGCAGGGGTATCTGGAACCCCATGACTTCCCTCTAGCTGGGAAGAAGGGAGGAGCTCTCAGATCCTGGAAGCCCCGGGAGGGGAAAAAGGAACCTCTGTTGGCTTGGAATGAGCCCCTGAATTCACGGCCGGGAGGACGGTTCCTACCACGCCCGGCCCCCTACGAAAACCTTAGGTGCAAACATGCACTTCATATTGGCCTGGGCTTTATCAATGGCCGTAAAAGTTTTAATGTAGGATCCCAGGTCTTTCACGAAGGTATCACCAAATAACATCCCCTCGTTGGATGAACTCGGTTCCGCCACCATCATGGCAGCCAATTTGGGGTTGATTTTCAGCAAAATCGCTTTACGTCTTTCCGCTGACATATCGGTATTCGCATTCCCCAGAAGACAAATACCCCGCTGGACCCATCCTATGGCCACATCGACATCCAGGACTGAGTCGCCAGCTGTAGCGGCATCCAGCAGATCATACAGTTTCAAAGGGTCCAGGGTATCCAAAATTTTGTCCTGGCATCCCTTCAGGGAATAATCCAGGCCCTTTTTAGGCTTCCAGCCAGACTTGTTCAAAACTTGCGTGATCTGGGGGTCAATCTCAGGGATCTTGCAGGCCAAGCCCAGCAGGGAAGGCCTGGGGCACTCAGCGCGTAATTTATTGTGGCCCTCCTTAGAAAGGGGGGTGCGCATGCGTCATGCAACATATTGTGCGATATACCCTGGGGGTTCCCACTCGGCTGACGCATGTCATCTGGGTCGAACAGGGGTTGCCCTGCGGATCCAACAGTGCCGCACCATCCCCAGTGGGGCCAGGTAAAAGACCTTGTGTAGTGGTAGAGGTCCCAGAAGGGGTAACACCCGTATGGAGTAAATCCTCACCCGACTCAGCCTCATCGTAAGAGGCGTAATCTAGCACGTCTGAGTCAGCTTCCGCACTCCGGTCGGTATCCGACCCTTCCTCTTGGCCCTAGCCTGTTTCCATAGTCTAGCCTTTTTAGCCTGGCCAGGGGCTCTTTTGCACGTATGAGGAGCGCTATCTGTGACCTCCTCAGGCATGTCTATCATGGCAGGTAGAACCTGAATCGAGGAGTGGGAGTTGACGTGCTTAGCCTTTGCCCCACGCCTACGGGCACCAGGCAAGACAGGGGCAGGCGGGGGGGTCCCGGTACTCAGGGGGGTGGGGGCCGCCATAGAGGGTAATAACATGGCTTGCAAGGACTGGGAGAACGATGTGGACACCGCTCCCATGGCAGATGCAAAGGCCTTCTGCAAGGATGAGGCCATAGTGGCATCCAGTAAGGCTTTAAATTCTTGGGAGGCTACAGCACCTTCAGGGTCATCCTGGGTGTAGGCCTCTGCAAGGCCCTCAGGCCCCTCATCCTTATCTTGCATACTAAAGCCAAAGAAATATCAGAACACTAGTGGAAAAGGAAACAACAGGGTTGAGTAACCCACAGCAGTAAATATTAAATCACAAACAACCTGACTGTAGGTGTGCCCAGGGGTATTAGCGGTCTGCAAAACCGAGCAGCGATCAGATCGAGGCTGCAGGGAGCAGAGAGACCGGCCGCGAGTAAGCTCTGCCCAGAACATGGCCGCCGCACATGGGAGCCGGGCAGAGCCTGCTCGCGGCCAGAGAACAGGCGGGGGAAGGGGTGCGTACACAGCGCCCGCGCGGGCCCCATGAGAGCGAGGATGGGCCGCAGTCGATAGCAAGCCGCGGGAAAGAAGTGCCCGCGGCCCGCGAATCACCCACAGAAGGGGCAGACGCCACAGTGAGGCAAGGAGACAGTCTCCCAGGTGGGAGAACCGCAGGCCCAAAGGGGATCCCCACTAGGCACACCAAGTGCAAACACAACAGGAATACATATAATAAACAGCAATGTACAAGTAATAAACACAATGCAAATGCAGTGTACAATTATAAAACACAAAGCAAATGACCAAGATACAGAAATATCAAGGAAAATAAAAATCACATGAGGAGCAAAAATATACTTAGCTGGTCTGAGGGAGCAGCAAAGAAAGAGGAGGATTGTGGGAGACACAGGCCTTTTATAGTCACTTCCTCTGTTATGTGATTGGTTGCCTGTGTGCCTATACAGTTTTTTCTTTCATTTTGATAATATTTATATTCCTCTATCTTTGCTGCTGAGGGAATAAAGAAAGAGTTATGCATAATATGAGCCTCCGTGTCTTTAATAAAATTAAAATCCGGCCTGCAAAGTTTAAGCTAAATCAATCAAGCTGTGCCTATAAGTGTTGAATAATTGTTTTTCTAAATCAGTATTTTTGTCATAGCAATTTGTTGTTCAATTCCCTACAATCCACGGTTTTGTAAATAAAGCTTGTATAGACTTCAGTCAGAAAAAGAAAGTAATAAGGAATACATTTTATTATATTTTTTATAAATTAACGCTGGGCTCCAATGCCACTCCTTTTTGCTTCCTTATTCCTGACCTTACTATACAAACATGTAACTCTAGTATCACCCATCTTGTACTCACACCTTGCTAACCAGGGAGGAAAAGAAAAAGTAGGCTCTAAAAGCACTTATTTGCTACTGTGCAAAATAAGCCGTTTACCATGGCTTTATTATGCAAGTCTTTTTTTTTTTTTCCACCCAGTCAGTGTTGCTTTCTGCTTTTTGCTGCAGCATTTGCTTGTTTAAGCTGCAATGACGTCCTGTGACCACCGGGGGCAGTGCCAACAAGCTTTTTTTTTTTTTTTTTTTTTTAAATATTTCAGTGCCTTTTTTTTTCCCTCCATGGTTTCTCCTCCTCGCTCTTGCGAGTAACTTGGCGTTTGGTCTCAGCAGCTTCCAACACGTTTCCTATATACAGAGAGATCGCTCGGATTGTCTCCCTCCATTAAGGACACATCGGGCTGCTCTTTTGCAAGCAGAGCACTGTGCAAGCTCCCACCCCCTCCCTTCCAAACTTTTTTTTTTTTTTTTATTTCTCAACGAGAACACCTAGCCAGGAATTAAATTAAATAAAAAAAAAAAAGAAAAATAATATCTTCCAGGGGGAATCACGAAAAAAAAAAGAAAACAAGAAGATGGACATGAAAAGAAGAATTCACCTGGAGCTAAGGAACAGAACGCCGTCTGATGTAAGCGTTCTTTAATTCTTAATATTGTTTATAGAAATAGAACACATCTATCTATTTAATGGAAATGGCTGGGCTCGTCGCATAATCCCCATGAAGTGCATGCCTGTCCATAGTCATGTTATTATTTATTGCCTTTCTGCAAACTAACTGGGCAAAGGGCTTGAATGATGCCTTTTACTTTACTTTTAGCCTTATTCTTTGCCTAGAATTGGGACCACATGGGTTTGTTATTTATTTATTTAGACTGCCTTCTATTTTTATGGATCACCCACCCCTTGATAGAAAGAGTCGACTAAACGTTATTTGGCCACCCTTTTATTTTTTTGTATTTTTTTTTTGTTTTACGATAAGTCAGATTAAGCTATATGTTGTTTTTTTTTTTTTTTTATGTAGATATTGCACGTTAATAATTTTATGTCTTTGTATTTTTTTTTTATTTTTTATTTTTATGGTGGTTGGTGTAGGATTTGGCTTTTAACTACCTCTCGCCCCCAACAAAAATACTTGAATCAAAGCAAAATTATTTAATAATTTAGAATGTTTAATAATAAATAGAAATATGATCGCATAGAAATAATAATAAAAAACACTAGCTCCACACTATGCTGTTTTCTAAAACAATGCTGAGTTGGAGAATGAGATTTTGTAAAACTTGACTTCTAAACCCTGCTTTTATTTATTTATTTGTTTAGGGGGGTGATCTTTACAAGGAGGGTGATCATTCAAAGTGTGAGTGAGTTAGTTGCCAGTATGAAAGGAGGAGGTGGGATGGCGTTATGGAAAATAAGATTTAGATTGATGGTTTCATTGGTTTTCGGAGTTTTAAGTTCCCTTTTTCAACACCCTTCTTCACTGTTTTCTTTCTTTTTTTTTTTTTTTGCTAGCACACTGGTAGCCATGTTTTGCAAATTTGATGTTAACCGGTCGCCGTTTAGAGAGCTCTTAAAGCATGATTTTAAAGCCAGGGCTTCTATTGCTAGTTTAGCTCCTTTGATGTCTTGTTTCCACCCTTGCAGTCTATGACACCATTCTGTGGGCTTTGATTCTTAAATACTGTCAGTTTCTTGTTTACAATCTGTCCTACGTTTGAAATAGGGTTGTAACTCTGGTTAGTTATATTTCCTTTTTACTATACGATTACGGTGCAGTGTTGTGATGGTGTTTGTCTAGGGGCAGAAGCTAAAACCCTCTCATTTTGTATTTAACCTTCCCCTTGTTAGCAAGCAGTTTGGCAGATCAGGACTTTACTCTCTGGGTTTACATGATTAGCACAGTATACAGACTAACCCGAGAAACACATTGCATTGACAACCCGGCGAGACAGATTGAATGCACATGAACAATGCAGGGTATTTTAATATCTTCTCGTGGATGACCTATACATAACATGCAATGTGGAGGTTTCATTTGGTGTGTTTACATCATAGACGTCAACAGTAAAGTTAGGCTTGGCATTAAAAATATTTGGGATAATTAAAATAACATGGTTGTGGCAAAATGCAATATATATAATTCACTATGTATTATATTATTGCGCTACATGGGAAGTGAAAGTGATTTTTGTGTACATGGAGAGCTGGGGAAGGGGCATAGCATGTATTTGAGGTATTCTGTCTCCTGGCAATGCTAGGCTGTGTGTGGGAAGGTTATGGAAGTAGACTGCACCTCTGGGAGCAATACACAGAGGACCCTCCTACTGTGCCGCCCCCCCCCCCCACATGGCTCTTTCATACTGTGCTTCCCATGGCTTGCTTCATACTGTGCTGCATCCCCCCTTCCGGCTGGCATCATGTTGTGCTGCATCCCCCTTCCATGGTTGGCGCGTCATGCTGTGCTGCATCCCCCTCCACATGGCTGGCGTCAATACACTGTGCTGCATCCCCCCAGGCTGGCATACTGTAAGCATCCCCCCACCCACGGCTGGTTTCCATACTGAGCTGTATCTCCCTCCCCCCCATAGCTGGTAACATACGTGCTACATCCCCCATAGCTGGTATCATACCGTGCTGCATCCTCTATAGCTGCATCATACTGTGCTGCATCATCCCCCATAGCTGGTATCATACTGTGCTGCATCCCCCATGGCTGACATCATGCTGTGCTGCATCCCCCTTCCATGGCTGCACCATGTTGTGCTGCATCCCCTTCCATGGCTGGCATCATGCTGTGCTGCATCCCCCCCTTCCATGGCTGGCATCATGCTTTGCTGCATCCCCCCCTTCCATGGCTGGCATCATGCTTTGCTGCATCCCCCCCTTCCATGGCTGGCATCATGCTTTGCTGCATCCCCCCCTTCCATGGCTGGCATCATGCTTTGCTGCATCCCCCCCTTCCATGGCTGGCATCATGCTTTGCTGCATCATGTTGCTTCTGTTCCTTCCATGGCTGGCATCGCTTTTGCTGCATCCCCTTCCATGGCTGGCATCATGCTTTGCTGCATCCTCTCATGGCTGGCGCCATACTGTGCTGCATCCCCAGGCTTGGCATACTGTGCTGTATTCTCCCCATGGCTGGGCATACTGTGCTGTATCCCCTCATGGCTGGCTTCATACTGTGCTGCAATCCTCTCCCCATCATGGCTGGCTTCTACTGTGCTTCAATCTCCTCCTACACCTCCATGGCTGGCTTCATACTGATACTGTGCTGTACCTCCAAAAAAATGGATGGGTTCATACTGTACTGCATTCCTGCTCCATCCTCCCCCGCCCCCCCCAACGGCTGGCTCCATGCTGTGCTGCATCCCCGGCTGGCTGGCTCCATACTGTGCTGCATCTCCCCAATGGCTGGCTCCATACTGTGCTGCATCCCCCCCATGGCTGAGAAACCATACTGTGTGCTGCCATCCCCCATGGCTGGCTCCATGCTGTGCTGCATCCCCCATGGCTGGCTCCATGCTGCATCCCCCCCATGGCTGTGGCAGCTCCATACTGGGCTGCATCCATAGCTGGCTCCATACTGTGCCATCCCCCCATGGCTGGCTCCCATACTGTGCTGCATCCCCCCATGGCTGGCTCCACATACTGTGCTGCATCCCCCAGTGGCTGGCTCCATGCTGTGCTGCATCCCCCAGTGGCTGGCTTCATACTGCGCTGCACCCCCAGTGGCTGGCTTTGCCTTTCGCGCTGCATCCGCCAGCCGGCGGCATCATGCGGGCTGTGCCCCCCCCCCCCCCATGGCTGGCATCATGCTGAGCTGTGCCCCGCGTGGCATCATGCTGTGCTGCATCCCCCCTTCCCATGGATGGCTCCCATATTGTGCTCTATTTCCCCCCTCCCCCCTCATGGCAGGCTCCATATATGCGGCATCCCAATGGTTGAAAACCATGCACGGTGCTGCACCCCTCCCAATGGCTGAAAACCATGCGGTGCTGCACCCCTCCCAATGGCTGGCTCCATGCAGTGCACCTCAATGGCTGGCTCCATGCGGTGCTGCACCCCTCCCAATGAAACGGCTCCGCCACGGTGCTGCACCCCGCAATGGCTGGCTCCCTGCGGTGCTGCACCCCTCCCAATGACGACCCGCTCACGGTTATGCACCCCTCCCAATAGCTGGCTCCATGTGATTGCTGCCCAATGGCTGGCTTCATACTGTGCTGCACCCCCCCCCAATGGCTGGCTTCATATTGCGCTGCACCCCCCTCAATGGCTGGCTTCATACTGTTCTGCATCCCTCCAATGGCTGACATCATACTGAGCTGTGCTCCCCCCCCCCTTTTTCCCATGGCTGTCTTGCTGCCTCTCCCCCCTTCCATGGATGGCTCCATACTGTGCCTCTACCCCATGGCAGGCTCCATACTGTGCTCTTACCCCATGGCTGAAGCCATACTGTGCTCTATCCCCCATGGCTGGCTCCATACTGTACTCTACCCCAGGCTGGCTCCATACTGTACTCTATCCCCCAAGGCTGGCTCCATACTGTACTCTATCCCCTCCCATGGCTGGCTCCATACTGTACTCTATCCCCTCCCATGGCTGGCTCCATACTGTACACTATCCCCTCCCATGGCTGGCTCCATACTGTACTCTATCCCCCCCATGGCTGGCTCCATACTGTACTCTATTCCCCCAAGTGGCTCCATGCTGTACTCCTATCCCCGTGGCTCCATGCTGGCCTCTATCCCCCATGGCTAGCTCCATACTGTCTCTATCCCCCATGGCTAGCTCCATACTGTGCTCTATCCCCCCATGACTGGCTCCATACTTGTACTCTATCCCCCCCCCCATGGCTTGCTCCATACTGTGCTCTATCCACCCCCTTCCCCATGGCTGGCTCCATGCTGCCTCTATCCCCCGACTTTTATGCTGTACTCTATCCCCATGGCTGGCTTCGCTTTGCTCTATCCCCCCATGGCTGGCTCCATACTGTATATCCCACCCCCCTTCCCATGGCTGGCTCCATGCTGTGCTCACAGCATCTCCCCATGGCTGACTCCATACTGTGCTATATCTCCCCATGGCTGACTCCATACTGTGCTCTATCCCCTCCCAAGGCTGGCTCCATGCCTCTCTCTTTAATGGCTGGCTCCTTTTGTACTCCTATCCCCCCAGGCTGGCCATACTGTACTCTATCCCCCCCCAGGCTGGCTCCATACTGTGCTCTATCCCCCCAGGCTGGCTCCATACTGTACTCATCCCCAGGCTGGCTCCATACTGTACTCTATACTGTACTCTATCCCCCCCCCAGGCTGGCTCCATACTGTACTCTGTCCCCCCACTCCCTATAGCAGGCAGTATATGTACAGACAGGCTCTGTGTATGGCAGAGGGTGTAATGGCCAGCAGTCTGATCGCCATGGCGATGCCACCGATGACGTATCAATAACAATATCTTATGACCCACATTACGTAATAAGCTGTGGGTGTCGGTGTGAGGCTGTGCGACATGTAATGTGAGCGGGCTGGGACTCTGGCCGACATCTTCCTCACCCCCTCCCCCCTCCTCTTCCTCCCCGTCAGTCGGGCGGGAAATCTCGGACAGAGGGGACAATGGGCGGAATGAGTCCCTGGATACAGACAGTGTGCGGGGCCCGGCCAGCCATGGGGTATCCATCCACCCCGTGCCATGTCGGGGGAGGAGGAGACAGCGCCATGTTGTCCTCTTGTCTTCCTCTCCTGCTCCATGCTCGCTGTGCTCTCCGGGCTCCTCCTGCCGTGCCAGCTGCAATGCCCCCCGGCCGGGCTCCATGTTGCCCCAGCTGGGTGTATGTGTCCGGCATGGCGCAGGGTCCTCCACCTCCCTCTCTCTCCCCTCAGTTGATGTCCCCCCCCCCCCTCTCTCTCTCCCCTCAGATGATGTCCTCCCTCTCTCTCTCTCTCCCCTCAGATGATGTCCTCCCTCTCTCTCTCTCTCCCCTCAGATGATGTCCTCCCTCTCTCTCTCTCTCCCCTCAAATGATGTCATCTCTCTCTCTCTCTCTCCCCTCAGTTGATGTCCTCTCTCTCTCTCTCTCCCCTCAGATGATGTCCTCCCTCCTCCTTCCCCTCTGTCTATATCTGTCTCTTTGTCTGCTGTGCCTCTTCTACATCTCCCTGACTTGCTGTATTCTGAGCTAGACTAGATGATTTGTATTTTATTATTTAAACCATTTTTAAATAAAATTATGGCAGCCCAGATACCTCTGAACTACATTCTCTGTGATAACGTGGCAGAACGTCATGGTAAAGGTTTAGAAACATTTTGTGAGAAATCCATCACAGGGAACCGTTTTGTGATTTATTTTTAATTTTTTTTGTGATGTGAATTCTGTCCTCCCATGTCTCCAGTGCACTGTGTTCTAATTAATGTCCCCAGATAGGACCCATTGACGTCCCTAGTGCTGATCAGGCTGAGGTTGTATGTTTTGTATACAAATTACAGTTTTAGCACACAGTCATTTAAAAATTTCCATTTTAAAGGTCCTATTCAAATGATACGTCAGACCCTCTGAATTAACTGGCAGAGAATTAGTATTGAATGTTTACATGGAATTACATTCAAAGATTCATGGTGTAATATGGAATTAACTTGCCGTCAATGTTTTCACTTCTGGTGACCTGGAAAGTATACACAACTTGCACAAGGTCACAGGCAGTAATGCAATTTTAAGTTCTCCATCATCATAAAAAAATGCTTTCCACATGTAGTTTGAAGGGATTGCTTGGCTAAAACATCACAGCTCAAGCATGCTTTGAATACAGTCAAAATCAACCAACTGCTATAAAAGAATAGAGCACATAGAACAACATATGACAAGTTTTATTTTATTGTTCAATAGTACACATCACTATTTCATGTCTATATTGAAATTGCTGCATTAATGTAGAGAGAGATTTTTAGAGTAGTTATTTAACAGATTTTATAAATGGGGGGGAAAAAATGCTTGTGTTACTATTAACAGTTCCAGCACCTTTCCCCCACCCCCCTCTGTACTTCCCAAAGTATAGCTACTAATAGGAGGCGGAGGAAGTGCACTCTAGGTTTCTGCAGGAATCTGTGATCTCCAGGCACCTAGGTAATAATCAAAATCATGTATTTATTGAAAACTATTTGGTATATAATAGCTTCCTGGATTGTGTAAGGTCAGCCGAGAGTGTGTGACAATAGTGCTTTTGTAAGTGATCAAATGAAACCTACCTGAAGATGACTTGTGAGCTGCTTACAATATTGTTTTCAGCCACTCCAATAAATAGTAGTAAATCCTTAAGATTTTGACAGTGAAGCAGACATGCACAATACATATACCTCAGTGCACCCAAGTACGGCTTTGAAACCTTCCCTTTGTGAAGGTCTGCTAAATATATTGGAGCATTATGAATATTGATCATTCCTTTAACTTGTGTCAATAAAGGAATACCATCCAGTTGCATTGCATACAGTACTCAACAGAAAATAAGTATCCAACTTTAATGGCATTGTGGGTTTTTGTTTTTCTCTTTCAACTGGCAGAAAATATGTCCATTAAGGGGAAAAAAATAACATCACACTCAGTCAGGGATGAATAGCAGTGTTACACTGTTACAAATGGAAAGCAAGAATATTACTGTCTGTTGTGAGGCATGCTGCAAAGACACCCACAGGTGAAATGTTCACTTACATAGTGGGGCATGTGGGAAGGTATACTAAAGTGAAATCATACCTTCCTGCAGTGCAATCTTTTGTCTTTATTTCCTGGCAGATGAAACTTTAGGTTCCTCAATTGATATTTCCACTCATGCAGAATGTGATGCCATAGGCATCTATTGCACAAGAATATGCCAGTTCCTGTCAACCATCACTTGTGAAGATAGATAATGGCACGTGAATGCTGATTAAATTGAAATTTTCATGAGTGATTCACCTTCAAAGGTTAATTCTTTTACCCAGTGCTTACGTCAAATTTTAATACAGAAGCAGTGAGAACATATCTCCAATCTAAAGCTTTTTATAGAGATGGTTAGTTTTCTTGCATGAGGATGTTTTAGCATCGTTTCTCTGAGTAAAATTATCACTTTGTCCCGCTTCACTCGAGAGGCCACTGTACACAAAGTGGCATGTCACCTTTAGGGGTCTTTGCAAAGTATGGGTACACTTTTATTGTCCTATTTTGATAATTGTATACATAATACAATATATATTAGCCTTTCATATAAAGAGATACAGATACATAAGGGACCAGGACCCTGCATTCGTTGAGCGCTCAAGGGTCTCCAAATTAAGCCAATGTGGTTTTATTAACTTGAAGTAATATCTATAGCCAATATTTCAGTCCATGACTGATCTTTCATCAGGAAGAGGTCTCGACTTTTTTAAAGAAGCAATAGACAGTTTTAAAAATAGTGAGCAATTGGTCAGATAACTGGTAGTCCAACCCAGTGTTCCATTAAAGAGTACCTGTTAATGTGCATGTTGCACATTTTCTAAACTATACAGAATGACATTGTTTCACCTTTTAACTATTCATAAAAAGGCACTTTTAAATACTTTTTGAAGCCCTGCCATGTATGCCATGCAGTGAACATCTTTAACTGGGATGATAGACAGGGCTTAAAGGGACAGTGTAGTCACCAGAACTACAGCTTAATGTAGTTGTACTGGTGTGTATAGTAGGTCCTTTCAGGCATTTTAATATAAACAGTGCCTTCTCAGAGAAAAAGAGGTAAAACTTAACTTTATTCATCATCAGAAGGATCTCTGCCAATCAGCATCTCCTCATAGAGATGTATTGAATCAAAAGGCAGTGTTTATTAAAAAGCCTACAGGGACTGACTATAGACACCAGAACAACTACATTAAAATTAATTTTATTTATTTTACCATTCATCATGCACAAAAGTCAGAGCTTAAAACATATGTATTTTGCAGTTAATGTGATGTTGATTTACTATACACTGAAATGTTGTGAACTGAAAACCTAAATTTCTAAATTTAGGGCAAATTATCTAACCTAGAAACTTTCTCTAACTCTGTGAAAGTATTAACCTGGTTATTTTAGGTTACATTTTGCTGCTTGATTTTCAAAACCAATACATATAAATTGGTTAAATTAGTGATTTTAGTGAGGAAAGCCTCTCTAAAATGCAGCCGCCTTAGGTAATTGTCATACTGCATTTTTTTTTTTTCCATCTGTATTAAATGTAATAATCTGTGATTAAATGGTTACTCTAAGCACCATGTAGTGGACATAATGCCAAGTATACTCTGGCTCAGATCCTTGTAATGGGGCAAACCATTTTTTCCCCTTACCTAGGTCCCTGCAGGGTTATAATGCTCTGGCACTATGACTTGCCTCCTGTTTTCAAGAGCTGGAGAAGCCTAAAGATGCAGTGGTCAACATTCATTACCTGAGAGAGTTCGGTCATTCATGGCACAGAATTGACGTTAGGCAGTCCGGAATGTTAGTTACAACTCCAGATGCAGAGGGGTTAATCTCTGTATGTGCTGTTTCAAAGCGAAACACTACGCATACAGACTCCAGGCATAGTGACGACTTCAAATCGCTGAAGTGCTTATGGTAACCCTTTTATTGTTTGGGTTTTACATGGTTATGTAACCCAAACAATCACAAGTGAAATCTATCCCATCTGGATGACATAAGTTGAAATCCACCATACTTTTAAAGAAGACTAAATCGGCTTCCTTAAAGGACCACTATAGGCACCCAGACCACTTCAGCATAATGAAGTGGTCTGGGTGTCAGGTCCCTCTAGGGTTAAATTTTGCCTGCTGTAAACATAGCCGTTTCAGAGAAACGGCTATGTTTACGTATGGGTTAATCCAGCCTCTAGTGGCTGTCTCGTTGACAGCCGCTAGAGGCGCTTCCATGCTTCTCACTGTGATTTTCAGCCGATGACGACCGAAGGAGGAGGAGGAGAGTCCCCAGCGCCGAGTTTGTTTTCCTGGCACTATAGTGGTCCTTTAAAAATTGTCTTTTTAAGAAGATGAGATCTATCATGCAAACCGAGCATACATAAAGAAGAGTTGAATATGGGAGTATGTACAGAATATATAATAATGAGACTGCATGGATTCTACTTGCTAATCTAAGAAATCATTTTGAGGTATAGTTGGGGAGAACTTTGTGAGTGTTGGGATTTTAATTTTGATCATAGTGTGTGTGTGTGTATAGGAAATTAGAGTAACAATTGAGAAACAGCAATGTTTACATTGCAACACTAAGTCTGCCTCCAGTAGCGGTCTACCAGACAGCCACTAGAGGCGCTTTCGGGATATTAACGGACTTTTGGTCTGGAAACTGACACTGGATGTTCTCACGCTCTGCACAAGGACATCCAGCATCTGCTATTTCCCCATTGAAAAGCATTGAGTGAATGATTTCCTATGAGGAGGCCTAATTAGCGCCCGCTCATCGGGAGGACGTCGGAGGAGGTAGAGCCGTGACCCAGCGCTGGAATCAGGTAAGTAAATAAAGGGTTTTTAACCCTTTTATCATCAGTGCGGGGGGAGGCATAGTGCCAGGAATATAGCTTTGCACTATAGTATCACTTTAATGTACAAGATCCGTAAATAAGATACGAATGGCAGCAGTTTATATTATAGAAATTATAGACTAATGGAGTGACTTGGGCATGTGTGAGTCTGAGTTCCAGTAAAAAGGTTGAATTTATTTTTTTTCTGTGAAAGGAAATCCTAGAACCAGCAAAATGCTCATTGTATTTTGTTTTGTAGGTACGTGCGTGTGTACCATAGCCATTACAGTGTTCAGTCCATGCCTCCTCCCACTCCACTACCTGTAGCCTAAGAGCACGAAGTTCCTACGTTCTGCATTGCTTATTGCTAATGGAAAAGGCTATGAAACCGAATTAAAACATTTTCATGACCTTTTCAGTATAACTATTAAATAAAACTCACTAAAAATAACCTAGTTAGATCCAAGCTCCACAAATCTCAGGCGCCTGGTTGCCATGGCGACTAGGAAGTTTGTCCTGACGCCTGGAATTTGTGAGCCCTTTTAAGCAACCGTCCTGGCAGCTTAGGATGGGAGGCAGGCAGACGGCTCATGGAGAACGTGGGCGGCTGGGCGGGCATGCGGCTCATGGAGCATGAAGAGCTGAGGGATGGAGGCAAGTGGCTAACTGACTGAGGAGGCGGCAAGGGAGCTGTATTCTTCAAAAAATATGACATCATTCCAGCCCCAGCTCACTATACAGTTCCCGAGGGCTGAGCAGGGAGATGAGCAGTACCGTCCCACTGGACCACCAGTATCCACTCCAGCTCTTCCAGCAGGTAGGGAGGCCGGGTTGGGCAAATTTATATTAAATAAATTATAACCTGTGTGTGTGTGTGTCTCTGTCTGTCAGTGACTGTGTGTGTGTGTCTGTCAGTGAGTGTGTGTCAGTGTCTGTTTAGGTGATCTGCCCCTCTCCAATCACAAGGGAAAGGTGTTTTTACTCACCTTTTTTTCCCCACGCTGTGCTAGTCTCGCCACTGCTGGCTACATGGCTGAGTTCATCAATCTTGACTATTTCACCCAATCCCAATGCTTCTCCCCTTATAGAAAAGCATTGAGAGACTATTGTGCATGCGCGGCACAATGCGCCAATCAACATCTCCTAGAGATGCATTGAATTAATTGTGCAGCTCTTTTTTTTGTCTGAAAAGACAGTGTTTACATTGACAAATGTGCACAGACAAGACTTAAAGGACCACTGCAGCTGGCACTATAGTATTAAAAGGTCCCTCCACCCTCATGGCCCCCTTCCCGCCGGGCTGAAGTGAGAGGAAAGGGTTAAACACTTACCTTTGGCGCTGGGGACTCTCCTCCTCCTTCGGTCGTCATCGGCTGAATGCGCGGCAAGAGCCGTGCACGCATTTAGTCAGTCCATAGGAAAGCATTCTCAATGAAAATCATAGTGAGAAGCGCGGAAGCGCCTCTAGCGACTGTCAATGAGACAGCCACTAGAGGCTGGATTAACCAATTGAGCTGAAGTGGTCTGGGTGCCTATTGTGGTCCTGTAAGAACTACCTTAAGTTGTAGTGGTTCTGGTGGCTATAGTGGTTTTTTTTGACGTTGAAAAGCCTGGCTCCTAGATTACAAGCAAATTTGTCAAGCCCTTAGCTAGATGAACAAGCATATCCTCTCATTAAAACCTCATGCAAAATTACATGATTTTGCTATTTCATGACAAAAAGTCATGATTTTATGAAAGACACGGAGGCGAGTATTGCTTAACCCTTTCTTTACTGTCCACCAATAGCAGCAAAGAATACAAACAGTAAGAAAAAATGGTAACCATAGTGATAGACCACTCCCATACCAAGTCCCAGTATAATAGTCAGCACCTCCCCACACAATTACTCTTTCTTTGGAGATGCGACACCAAACCAGCAAACAGGAACCGATGAACAGTCCAGAACTCAGCAGACCAAACCATCCCAAAATCCAGCCGGATACTTATCAGGAACAATCTGTGAACTGGGACTAAACCAGCAACAAATGACTAAGTGTCAACAACAGGGAGTCCATCACAGCACCATCCATAGATATCCAGTCAACGTGATGAAGTCTTGGGAAGAAGTGAGGATCTTTTCAACCTGTGAAAACATAAAAAACAGGAGCCCCACCGTTAAATCAGTACTAAAACCAATTGCTCATGCCAAACCATAATATATTGATATACTGAAACCATATAGTGCCCCGAATGTCAGACAAGAGAACCACCAACAGGCCAACATAACATTAACAGTACGGATGCACATAAAAAGGCAATACCATGTTGAACTCATGTTGCAATACTTACCAACCTGAGCTATAACACAACAGGAGGGGGAAACACAATGATAGAAAAATAAAAGGGTGGGACAATACTCGCCTCCGTGTCTTTCATAAAATCATGACTTTTCGTCATGAAATAGCAAAATCATGTAATTTTATGTCAAGACACGGAGGCTCATATTGCAAGTTTAAAGCTGATCAATAACCGAAGAGAAAACATGTGTTGAAGGCCAAAAGTAAAATTCTCTGAAGGTGGATTCGCAGGACCAGTCCGCCATCCTCATCAGGTCTTCCCGGCATGCTCCCGAAGACACCATAGACATGGCTGATGCCCCTCGTAAGGAGTGAGCGCTAAAGATGGATGTATCCACACCGGCCAGTGACATTACCCATTTCACCCAACGAGCCAAGGTAGTGCTGGACACGGGGCGAACGGTTGACGAATCGAGAGAAAGAGCTGAGGGGACGCGGCCGAATGATGGGCACTCGTCCGAAGTTCATACTCCCTCAAACAGGTCACAGGACATAGCGCCGGGGTAGTTGGAAAACTCGGATATGAGACCGAACGTATAACCGTCTTAGTGCGTCTGGAGATGTTAAATGTCACTCCATCGTAGTCCAGGGCCCGTACATCCGAGACCTGTTTGCACGAAATGAGGCAGAACAGGGAAACCAATTTGGCAGACAGTTGTCTCAGGGTGAGGTCCACATTAGGAGGCTAAAAAGTAAACCGTGACAAGACGCAGGACCATGTATAATATCGAGGTCTGGGGGGACGCGACAGATGTGGACCCCGAAGTAAGCGGCACACCAAGGGGTGTTGGCCCGCAGGACAGCCGTCGAAACCCTGGTGAGCTGAAGAGATGGCTGATCTATACAGGTTACAGGCGATAAAAAAACATGAGGTAAATGTAAGCTTACTGTAAGTGCGTCTGGAACCGAGGTTCCCTCTGAAGCCTCTGGAGAGCCATGGCCTCCCATGTGAAGGGAAGAAAGGGGACTGTTGTCACGTCGCCTGGTAGGATGGTCTCTGGTTGTAGAAGCCTCATCCTGATCCACGAGCATGGTAATTAGACCGACCGGACAGATAGCCCCTGAATCTGCCGGCCCTGGTAGAGACCCGTCCCTGAAATAACCTCTTCATAGAGGATTGAGCCTTGTCCAGGGCTGTAAAAGCACACACAAAGCGCCCCAGATCCTTTATAAAGGATTCTCCAAACAGGCCCTGGGCATCTTTGCCTGCCTCAGTGAGAGCGAGGTTAGCCAATTTGGGTTCAATTTTAAAGAGAATTGCTGGCTTTATGCTGCTGAACAGACAGGGATGTGTTCACACTGCCTGCTATGCAGATCGCCCTCTGCACCCAGCCACGGAGTTCTTCTGGGTCAATCTGCCTGTTTTCGGCTCTGGCTAGTTCAGCCAGGTCAAACAATTTGGCCGAAGGACCAAAAATGTCCAGGTGTTTGTCCTGGCATGATTTTAAAGCGGAATCCAATCCCTTGCGGGGATTCCATCCCATTTTTGAAAGAAATTGGGACATTTGGGGTCAACAATAGGGGTCTCACATACTTTACTGGGAATTAGGGGTCTAGGACATTCTGCCCTGAGTTTGTTGCGCGCTGCCTTGCTAAGGGGGCGCCGTACCCAGTTCTCTAGGTACTAAGCCACATGGTCCGCTGGAAGCCATTCTGCTGACCTCGGGTGATGAAGAGCATCCGGGTCAAACGTAGGTTCCCCAGACGGATTCATGAGGGCGGAACCCACGGTAGCGGCGGAGTCGCTGCGCAAGCAACTCATTACCAGCCCCGATAGAGCAGGGGCAAAGGGATTAGTGTCTTGCCCGCCAATGTCGTCATTGGAGTCACGTACGGACTCGGCATCAGCCTCCTCACCAGACCCGATTTCTGAGTCGGAGTCACTCTCTTTTTGTGCTCTAGCACATTTCCACTGCCGCGCCCGTTCTGCCTGGCGCGGCAGTGGAAATGTGCTAGAGCACAAAAAGAGAGTGACTCCGACTCTGTTCATGGGTGAATCTAGTCACACCGGTCGTATTGTTTCTGGAGGCAGGAGGACTTAAGTGACTGGATTTGGCCGTTGCCTTCTTGGAACATCCCCTATAGGGCTTAAAGCAGAACGCGGTAAGCGCGTCGCGTGGCCGAGCCTTCTGCGGCCAAAGGGCGTGCCAGTAAGGCCTGTGAAATAGTCTGGGAAAGAGCCGAGGACATGGAGCCTATGGCGGCCATAATGGCATCCGTAATGAAGCGCTGTAGAGCTAGAGATTGGGCATCCTCAGGTACTGACATAGGGTAACCTGCGGAGGAAGGGGGGCCAGAGCTGGCAGAGGGGTTAAAGCATGGGGTATATCCATTTCTCCAGGGGGAAGGGGGGGTGGCAGGCACTTTGGACTTGGGCATAATAAAATTGCTGTGAGATATCCTAATGACACCAAATATAACATAGTAATATATGCTGCAGGGAGTTGAAAGCTAAAACAAAAAAAATGACAGAGAGAGAACAAGCTAGCAGGAGTTAATCACACCAGACTAGCTATACTTTATTAGAGGGTAGAGATAGGGAGCTCACCAGGGCCCAGACAGTCTGACAGGAAGAAGGAGCAATGGAGTCACAGACAGCCTGAGAAAGATAAGGCAAACAGAGAAAAAAAAAAAAAGATAAGAGCAACAGGAGAAGCTCAAGTGATAGGGATACTGATAATAATACCCTAAAGAGGTCTGGAACCCTGGGCTCAAAGGATAACGCAGTATAAAAATCCACAATAGGATAAAACATGGAAACATAAAACATATGGAAAATAAATAAGTAAATAATAAAACTACAAGCAAAAAGGCAAATAAATGACACAGGTAGCAACAGAGCAATAATGAGAGTAACATCAATAATGCAAATAAATAGTATACATAACATTAAGCCAATAACATGGAAGAAATTCGTTATGTACTTATCGGTTTGGTAGCAGCAAAGAAAGAGGAATTGTGTGGGGAGGTGCTGACTATTATACTGGGACTTGGTATGGGAGTGGTCTATCACTATGGTTACCATTTTTTCTTACTGTTTGTATTCTTTGCTGCTATTGGTGGACAGTAAAGAAAGGGTTAAGCAATATGAGCCTCCGTGTCTTGACATAAAATTATATTTTGGCATCAAGCAATTACATTGTCTTCATTGCTCTAAGAACACTTTTTGAAATCTAACCAATTGTCTTCATGTTCCATGCAAGGTGCAAAATAAAAAAAATAAACACTTCACTTCAGCTTATTTGCAAGGTTTCCAGTAGCTGCTGATACTAGATCTGCAGCTATTGCAAGCCAATATTTCATATATCCCCCAAAGAAAACACGAAAAACAAATCACTTGCATATTTCCTCTCTCCTTCCCCCCTCCTTTTTTCCCCTTTCATAATAATGTAGTATTCTTTAAAGTAATACTACATTAGTATAGTACTTTGGAAAAGCCTAGCCTGAAAACCTGGAAGAACGATGCAGTTTAAAGGATTACTATATAGAGCAGTGATGGCGAACCTTTTTGAGCCCGAGTGCCCAAACCGCAATACATGCCAACATTTTTTCTCCTTAAAGTGCCAACACGGCAATTAAACCCAAATACTGAGGTTTAAGTTTAGAAAAAAACAACTCGTACTGTTGTCCGAACTAATAACTTTTGTTTTAAAAGAACACAGAGAGTTCAATAATACAAATTTTAAATAATGATATAAATAGATAAAATTAAGCTTATATTTATTAGTATCTCCAACAAATGCAATACATACACAGACAGACTGCTGAATACATACACACAGTCTGCTGAATACACACACACAAGACTGCTGAATACAGAGACTGATGAATACACATACAGACAGACTGCTGAGTACACACACACACACAGACTGCTGAGTACACACACTGCTGAGTACACACACACAGACTGCTGAGTACACACACACACAGACTGCTGAGTACACACACACAGACTGCTGAGTACACACACACACAGACTGCTGAGTACACGCACACACAGACTGCTGAGTACACGCAAACACAGACAGCTGAATACACGCAAACACAGACAGCTGAATACACGCAAACACAGACAGCTGAATACACGCAAACACAGACAGACTGCTGAATACACACATACTGCATTGAGGTGGGGGTGCGTGTGTGTGTGAGTGTTGTATGTGAGGGGTGCTGTGTGTGTGTGTTATATGTGTAAGGGTGCTGCGGAGGGGTAGGGGTACTGTGTGTGGGGGGTAGGGGTACTGCTGGGAGGTAGGGGTACTGTGTGTGGGGGGGGTACTGTGGGATGGTTTGGGGTACTATGTGGGGGGTAGGGGTACTAGGGGGTAGGGGTACTGCAGTGGGGGGGTAGGGGTAGCTCATGTGGGGGGTTAGGGCAAGGGGGTTACTGCTGGGGGTAGGGGTTACTGCTGGGAGGAATACTGCTGGGAGGGTAGGGTACTGTGTATGGGGGGGTAGGGGTACTGCTGGGGGAGTAGGGGTATTGCTGGGGAGTAGGGGGTACTGGGGAGGGTGGGTACTGCTGGGTAGGGTTAGGGTGGGTACTGGGCAGGGGTTACTGCTGGGAGGGGGGTTACTACTGGGGGTAGGGGTTACTGCTGGGCAGTAGGGGCTACTGCTGGGGGTGGGGGTAGGGGTTACTGCTGGGGGTAGGGGTTACTGCTGGGGGTAGGGTTACGTGGTGGGGGTTACTGCTGGGGGTAGGGGTTACTGCTGGGGGGGTAGGGGTTACTGCTGGGTGGGAGTAGGGGTTACTGCTGGGGGGGTAGGGGTTACTGCTGGGTGGGAGTAGGTGTGCTGTATCAGTATCTTTAATGAGGGGGGAGGGGGGGGGACACAGAGATCCCTGGTGGTCTGGTGGTGGTAAGAACTGCAGGGGGAGGGCTCCAGGAAGCAGCTCCCCTGTCCTCGCGCAATGCTGTGTGGAGCGTTGCCATGGTAACGCGCGGCAACGCTCCACACAGCATCGCACGGGAGGACAGGGGAGCTGCTTCCTGGAGCCCTCCCCATGCCTCCCGACCCGGAAGCAGAGTAGGCGCCTGCCGTTTCGGGCAGACAGGCGCCTACTCTGCATTGATGGCGGACCTGTGGCCGCGTGCCCACAGAAAGGGCCCGGCGTGCCACCTGTGGCACGCGTGCCATAGGTTCGCCATCACTGATATAGAGTGTGCGTGTATCTCTCTCTCCTATATTAGTATGTGTAGATTAATATATTTAACATATTTTCTTTCTTAAACTGGATATTACTTTAGTGTACATTATAGTAGCTGTACCATTTGAGTTATGAGGTTGTTCCTTAAAAGTTGCACTTTCTGCAGTACTGTAGTCTGTAGTAAAGTTCAGGTGTTGGCTGTGTCATTAAAATAAGAATAAAAAAAAAAAAAATTTATACTTAAGTCAAATTTACTTTTTACACATTTTCACACAAAGCTAGCTATCTGATTCCTGTACTCCAAATAAGTTAGGTGAAAACTGCAAAGCTAGTTTTATTTAGTTTTTTTTTTTTTCTCTGCATATTTTACTTCTTGGCCATGAAACAGAAGCTACATTGTTTCCATTTAAAGCAGGCATGAGAAATAAATATGGAACTTAATATGCAGAAAGTTCTACAAGGTGGAGTTAGAACTCTGTGTACACTACTTGGAAACTAGCTTTAGACCATTTGCATGGCAGTGTTGAGAAACAAGTGCATGAAGCATTAAGAAAGTTACTAGTGATTTTCATAGTCAGCTATAAATATAAACCTGGGAAACTTTCTCCATAAGATACAAATTAGAGATTTTGTTTTACCATCTCCATATTTTTGCCTTACATTTGTGAGTTTATCAACACACCTTAAAGCGGCACAGTCACACCGTACTTACATGTCTCCTATTGTTTCTTCTTCTCAGAATCTGTTCTTTTCTTTATTTCTGATTTTATATTCTGATTTAAACACTAGACAAAGTAGGGACTACTTTGTCGTATGTATTTATCTTACGCTGGACCTTCTTTGGGCTTAAGTCTGCTCTCTTTCCTGTGGACAGTTCCCCCCTCCCAAAGTACTCACCTCTCCTCCATTTTCCCCTCTTTCCTTCCCCTCTTTCCTTCCCTCCTCGCCTACATTTGCGTCCTACCACATTGCAACCCATCAAATCATTCTGACAGAGAAGCATTGAGTCTAGTACTTCCCTATCAGAATTAGTAAATGCAACACCACACATGCACATATGAGCGTGAGATGAGCTTGGTGACCTCTCATTTCACCACTGATGCCAGTTCTGAGGGAAATATAATAATGTAGGGAGGTGGGAAGAAAAAATGGGCTGGGGATAATGATTGGGCGGTGGGCTGCATGGCGGGAGGAGGAAATTAATGCACATTCATGCGAGATAAAGAAATTGTCATCTCAGTGCTGTATACATAAACCTGCTCGATTGGCTTTACTGAAAGGAATTCCTGAGAATGCTAGCTCTAGCACAGAATTACTTTGTATATGCGCATGAGGGATCATAGAGCAATGTTGGAATCCCTGTACAGAGAACTGCTGAAGGGGTAAGGTGTGTGTTTCCTTCTTTCTTCTGCACTTCCATAGCATTTAATTGGACGAGGAAAGTTCATTGACAGTGACTATTTGAATATAAATATGCAGTAAAATCTACAGTCTGCTTAGTAGAGAGCTCTTGTGTACCTAGACTAGCACCTAGTATATTTAAGACAATAAATTCTTAAATCTGGCTTATGTCCATGTATCCATTCTCCATCATGGAAAAGACAGGAGTATGCTCATCTTCAGGTAAATAAAGAATCTATTCATTGGTCATTTCACTAGACAAATATATAGGTAAGAATTTGGTTCCTGAAACTGACCTGGTAAAGTTAGAACTAACTTTGTGTTTTGTCTAGTCTGTAATAATGTAGAGAAAATTAAAGTATCTGTGTTTAATTTGATCATAATGTTTACCAGGAAGACAGATTCAAACTTGTATTTTTTTTAATTTTATTTTTTTACTTTTTACATTTAGACCAGTATTTTCCAAACCAGTACTTATGACTCTTCAACAGTCCATGTTTTGTCAGTATCTCCATTGGATTTGAAATGGGAAAATACATAAATCCTGGACTGTTGCTGGGCCATGAGAGCTGGTTTGGGAATCGCTGCCTTAGACCGACCATGCATAAACTGACTGCTGTGATTTGTAATCCATAATCCTCTCAGAAATCAGTTCTTGGAATGTTAGTTGGACTTCTTGAGCCAGACTGAGATTCAGTGTGAGCGTATATATACCACTCTGTTTGACATTGGTGTAACTGGAACTTTTAAACTTGTATGCTACTGTAGATTTGCATGTATTTGTCTAATAGAATAAAGAATAAAAAACAATCTATTTCATGCTATAAAGATGATTTCAGGTGCATATTTTGATTTTAATCAATTTATTAATTAACAATATAAAAGCATCAAGGAAGTATCTGGATTTCTACATTCATGTATTAGGAGTAAAATAATTCACCTCTTTAAGGCTACAAACTTGAGTAAACCTTTTCTATCCAGTTAAGATTACTCATTGATGCCTCTGTTTGCCTAGCAGTATATTGTCGATAGGTATATTCACGTTTCAGTGTGAGCCAAACATTCCTGAGCCAACTGGGAAGCTCTCACTTTACTCTGCTCTCACTTTGATCTTATGTGGTTTTTCGGAAAACCAGTGAGTTTATCCCACCTAACGGCCCTGAAATGATTTTGATGATCCGCCAGAGTTGATTTCGGATCGTTTCGATTTTGAGGTTTATATGCTACCAGTGTTGCCTTGGTCTGACTAGAACCAGAAAAACAGGCACTTTACTAGTAAGTATCGTTCATGTGTCTGTTGCCAAAATGCAGTTGCTGCAACCTGTCTCAGAATTTACCATTAGTCTAGACTCTAGAAATTACAAACTCGCAGGTTAGAATATCTCAGTTAGGACTCTGAGAAATGGTGACACGCACTTGTTGCTGTATTAAGTGTACGAGGACAGAGGGTTTAAACCCTTCAGTGCCAAAAGGAGTACAGCCAAGTATTTCTGGATGCTGTCCCACTCATAGTGGGATAAGTGTTTTGCATTGTAAAAGTTGACTTGACTTATATGGAGTCTTGCATTGTTTTCTGCTGTCTTAATGTACTTTTGTTTTAAAATTAAATATTTTACTGTATATCCAGCCATGTTTAACTCCTTAAGGGCACCGCTGCAGTTTTCTTGTTTTGTACTTAAGGACACAAACAAATTTCGGATTTTGTGTGTGTGTGTGTCAACAATTACCATATTTAATTTATTTAAGTTTTGCACCTACACATGTAATATACAGGTTTTCTTTTTGTATTTTCAACTACAGGGGCTCTAATTTGTGACCTATATAAATTCTCATTTATTCTAAACTTGAAAAACATTTTTTAAACAATAATAGTGTTTACTCTGAACACAAACACCCCGGTAAACTCTGAAAACCGTGAAACACATAAAACTCCACTGACTGCTTTTAGTAGTACTACGTTTGTGAGTGCAATACAGTGGGACTCAATCGAGTTCCAATGTGTTCGAGAACCAAATCAACATTTCCCATGAGGATTAATGTAAAATTGAATAATCCCTTCAAGACACCCAAAATTACAGCATTTTACATTTATATGTGTGCATTAAAAATAATTCTCAAATTACCATGTCGCCAGTGTATTAATTAGTCTGGCTGTATGGTGAAAGTAATGTTTTTAAATATTTTTTATATTCCAAAATTAAGAGCCCTGACCTAATGCATTAAGGGATGGATATTTTGTGCATGATTATCTTTCAGAATTGCACCATAGTACACTTTTGTGGGTGGACTATAGTCTATCATGTTTGCACCCCATACATAAGTTACCGTGTCTTATGAATGTTGCCAATACTTTTTCCACACAAAAGCAGGCAGTTGTTTATTAGAATCCAAATGTAAGTCCATAAATATTGCCTTAATACGTCACAGCTGAAATATGCATAGCAGTAGGATCACTTTTCTTCAATTTAGTTGGATGTTTTTAACTCCCTACCGTACTCCAGACCTGTGACGCTAGAGGTGGGACTTGCAAATGCACACTTTTCTGACTTGTAAAAGAGACATGGCTCTTTGTTGTATGTTCGGGTACCAAAGATTGTTTACCTACCGAGACATTATTTTACTCAAAATTTTCGTTAGACTTCCGAATTGTTCAAAAACGGGACCGTTTGAGTTCCGAGGCGCCACTGTATTATATCCTAATTTTATTGGTGGTGTTGGTTTTCCACTGTTATGTATTTATGTCTTTTATGTGATTTTTAAGTGATTTAACATGTGTATGTGGATTCTGGAACAACTGATGGGAAAGAGTAAAAAGGTGTATTGTATTATAATCTCATTCAAATTCCACATCTATCTCTATCTACACCATTGTTTGCTTTTTTGGTTTTATTAAAAAACAAAAACAAAAAAAAAGAGGGCATCATAAGAGTTTATTCAAACTACCTCACAAAGGCCTGATGTGTGAAAGTAGACACATCAGAGTATCTCAAATGGTGTATATTGTTCATTAAAGCAGAAATGTCACTGTCTGGGGACTTTGCATAATTTGCGAAGACCCCCAATGGTGACATTGCTTGGGGGGCAGGGGGTAGGGGGCTGCAGGATCCTCCTTAGACGGTCAATTCCTTGCAGCCATCACTGGTGACAGCTGGGGAATTGGGGGATTGACATTTCTTGACTGCGGTAGATCCGCCCAGTGTCAAGAAGTAGGAACAATACTGAGAGAAAGTAGTCTATACCTTGTCTCAGTTTCTTTTGACTGGGGTAGAATTTCAGTGACAACATCCATATCAGTATTGTATAAAATCCTGCCATTTTTCCACAAGTTTGTGGTAAAAACCTTTTATTCCATACATGTATAATTTTGCTAGGTATTTTGTAAATCTGATGTGTGCCACTGTGATAAACCCCCCATATTATGCTCAGCCAACTCTCCGGAGTAAAACAAAACCTCCAATGTGTGCCTTTGCATTTGTCTTGTGACTTTACAGAGCCATATAAGAGACCTGATTATTTCAGTTTTTACCGTTTAGAATTTTGATGAATTAGATGGGCCCATCATTTTGGGGCCTTGTAGCAGTTTGACCATTCAGATTACCACATAAATGCATACGATTTGCAAAAGTAGACACTATGTAGTATGTCAGATGGTATATTTACTGTACAGCCATTTTTGTAACAATTTATTTAAAAGCTCATGGTATTCTTTTATTTTCATGGTTTTTGTTTTGTTTTTACATAAGTCACATTGCAATTTAGCAGTGTATTTTTTAAACCTGATATGTACTACTTAATAAATATCGAATTGTGCTCAGTTATATCTTCTACAAAAAAGACCCCCTTTACATATTGTTCTCAAGTTTTTGTGAAAATACAAGGCTCAATAAACAGCCCTGTGCAGTTTAAAAAAATAATATAGACAAATTTACTGGTCTATGGTGCATCCTGGGGCATTTTAGTAGCTTACACATTTAAAATACTCCACAAATGTATACCATTTGCAAATCAAAGTTAGTGGGTATTATTTTTTTTTTCCACCTTCATTGTAGTTTTACTGCTTATTTTAAAGTTAAACGACGGTAAAAAAAACTACGGTGAAATTGCTACTGGTGGTCCCCGATGGTTCAAAGCCTTTTAGAAGAAAACTCAGGTGTGCCTGGCTATTTTTCCCCCCCATAAACTGTACTTGGCAACCTCTCTCGAGTACAGGGATACCCCCTATGATTACATTATTAAAGATTTTATCTTTATGATATACTCAATGATTTTTGGCAGAGGGATGACAGCCGCTTTGACACAAGTTCTAGGTTATTTTCAACAATTTATTCAAAGGAGTAATTTCTATTAAAAATACAATATACCGAGGGGCGGAGCCTGGCAGCAGACCTAGACGGACGCACACTAGATGGGCTCTGCATCCATTCTAACAAAAACACAGATTTCCAGAGTGTAGCAATTATACCCCACAGATCTACAGGGAACATGGGACGGAAAACAAAAGCCGGACAAGCCCAAATCATGGGTCGATATCAGCGATCTGTTCCGCCAGGCACATGGGCCTGAAATGGCCACGGTCTAGCAGAATACACAGACTCCTCGGAAGACCTTAACCTGGATCATAGGCGTGCGCAGCCTATTGCATTAGGGTGTGCACCCTGAAGCACAAACACACGCTGTGTGTGTGTGTATATGTGACGGAACGCTGGCACTCTGACAGAGTACCTCCGCCAATTGTTGCTCCTAGTGCTTGCCGAGGACTCCCCAGAGTGTAGTTATCCCATCGCCCCAAGCATGAGCCAAAGCTTCAAGAAAGGGTCAAGCAGGTCTGTCTAATGAGCACCAAAGGACTTTCTTATACAAGTTTTCCCACCAGGTTACCACCCACGTGGACCTGGTGATACACAGGACATGCAGTTACAATAGCCAGTCAGAACAGTACAGTCAGACACTCCCAGCCAAGGCACACAAACCCTCCCCTATGCCTGTGATATAATTACTGAACACAATTGGTTAACTTAATTAACACAGGCAGGAAAATATACAGTTTTATACAATATTCATAACTTCCTAACCATACATGCAATTTAAAAGTTACATATTCTGAACCAGCATAATCAGTATACAAACATATTCAAAAATCATACATATATATATGTGTGTGTATGTATATGTGTGTGTACATAAAATATATATATACACACACAAATACACTCTTGCTTACATACATACATACACACACACACACACACACAGACCCACACTCATATAAATATCAATATACACAAACATTTAGCTACACAGGCAAAATAGCATTTTGCTGCCCCCCCAAAAACCCACAGGGGTTGAGAAATCCTTATTCCTGTTGGAAAGGGGCTCTAGAAGGGGGGCAGGGGCTGTGGTGGGGGATAGGGTCTGTACAAGGGGGGACAAGATCTGTTGGGGGCAGGGGCTGTAGAGGGATACACAAAGGGGTTGTAGATGGGGGACGCAGGAACTGTAGAGGGACACACACACACACAGGGGCTCTAAAGGGACACACACACACACACACACACACACACACACAGGGGCTCTAAAGGGACACACACACAGGGGCTCTAAAGGGACACACACACAGGGGCTCTAAAGGGACACACACACAGGGGCTCTAAAGGGACACACACACAGGGGCTCTAAAGGGACACACACACACAGGGGCTCTAAAGGGACACACACACACAGGGGCTCTAAAGGGACACACACACACAGGGGCTCTAAAGGGACACACACAGAGGGGCTCTAAAGGTTACACACAGGGGGCTCTAAAGGGACACACACACACACACACACCAGGGGGCTCTAAGGGACACACACACACACACACACACACAGGGGCTCTAAAGGGACACACACACACACACAGGGGCTCTAAAGGGACACACACACACACACAGGGGCTCTAAAGGGACACACACACACAGGGGCTGTAGAGGGGGACACACACACACAGGGGCTGTAGAGGGGCACACACACACAGGGGCTGTAGAGGGGGACACACACACACAGGGGCTGTAGAGGGGGACACACACACACAGGGGCTGTAGAGGGGACACACACACACAGGGAGCTGTAGAGGGGACAGGGGCTGTAGAGGGGACACACACACACACACACAGGGAGCTGTAGAGGGGACACACACAGGGGCTGCTAGGGGACACACACACACACAGGGGCTGTAGAGGGGGACACACACACACAGAGGGAGGCTGTAGAGGGGGACACACACACACAGGGGCTGTAAAGGGAGGGACACACACACACACAGGGGCTGTAGAGGGACACACACACAGGGGCTGTAGAGGGGGACACACACACGGGGGCTGTAGAGGGACACACACACACGGGGGCTGTAGAGGGGGAAATAGGATATGTACAAGGAGGACAAGGTCTTTTGGGGGCAGGGGCTGTAGAGGGGGACACACAGGAACTGTATAGGGGCACACACACACACACATGGGCTGTGGGGGCACAAGGCTGTAAAGGGGCACAGGTGCTATAGAAGGGGTGGGCAGGGGCTGTAGAAGGGAGGGCACAAGGGCTATAGACTGGGTGGGTAGGGGCTCTATATAGGGGCGCAGGGGCTAAAAAAGGGGTTGACGGGGGCTATAGAAAGGGGAACATGGGCTGGGGGAGGAGGGGCCAAGGGCTGGCAAAAAAAAAAGGAGGGGCCGGCTGACTTCACTGGCTGCTCTGTTCTGGCTGGCTGCAGGGAGACAGCAGGTAATGTGAAAAATCTGATCAGATTTTTGCACCAGCATTGCAGTACAGCACGGGTGATTAGGATGTACCCAGGCACACCCCGTGCGCACGCTTATGGCCTGGTTGATATGGTATGTGGTATGTTTGGCCCGTTATCACAGCCAACCACTAAAAAGGGGAAACCCAACCCTGTCACCACAGAGACTTTGAAGAACTAACAATCCAAGCTGATGTAGCCCATCTCCGCACGGACCTGACCAGCCTTGTAGGCCGCATCGGAGTGGTAGAGGCCTCCTAAGACAAACCGGCCCAAGCCATAGCGGAACTCCAAGCAAATCTGCAGGAGCTCAAAAAGCACCAAGTGACCGTGGACCACCGCTTCACGGCTCTCGAGGAACTCAGACGCCGCAATAACGTGAAAATCCGAGGTATTCCTGAAGATATCCCAGCAGAGGAACTGAAACAAGCCAGGAATAGGAAAATTGAAGTGGTCTTCCGGGTCCCCAAACCCCAGAGAGCTCCAGCATCAGCTTCAAGGGAGATAGTGGTGAGATTCCGCACTTACGTGGATAAGGCAGCGGTCCTTGCTGCCCTCAAAGGGAAAACACCTTATATATTCGAACAGATCACCCTTATCTTTTACGCAGACCTCTCTGGGAATACCCTGCAATGGAGATGGTCACTTTCACAGCGCTTTTGAGGAAGAGCGACATAGAATATAAATGGCGCTCATCAAGGGCACTGCAAATCCAGCATAACAACTTGACCTACACAGTTAGATATGCAGGGACCTGAGGTGCCTCTGTCACCACTTGGCCTGCCAGAGAGCTCCCTAACTTTTTTTCGGGCTCCCAGGAAAAACAGCTCACCGCTGGGACCCAGCGAGGATTACACAGTTTGTGCCACAGGGAAGAATGCCAGATGCGGCAGCCACAACATGAATCACGGGACTCTCAACCCCACTGTCTCCTCTACCGTCCTAAGGGCATACGCTTGTTGCAGTTCAAAGTTACTTATGTTTATTTTTGGAATTCTACTTTCTACTTTTATTTCTTCAACGCAATCTAGACACATCTGTGCATTAAATGCCTCATACTCTGAGACTCTATACCCAACACCAATTGCCTCAGTCAATGAGCTTACATATTTGGTTCAAAGTTGTTTTTTAGGCTATGTTTTTTTTTTTTTTCTTTCATGATCTGCACCAACACAGACTAGACACCACCCACAACCATATAAAGCCCTACTGACACACAAGGGACCTCCACCCCCCAACTCCTAGACTAGGCTTGACATACCCCCTGACAATACGAGATCCTGCAGGGGTATCAACGTATACTTAGGCATAGAGCTGAGACTATACCGGGCTACCTATGCAGCCTTGACACTGGCATGTGGTTCATACTGCTCATAAGTTGCACACACAACATCATAAGAGGGGTCCAAGCTATTACCAATCTTTCGCAAGTTTTCTCTATTTCCGCCTACAGGCTGAAGGTAATTCACAGGTTAAGCACAAATGCATGACCAACCTCCTTTGGACCTGAAACAGACTATGACCACTTGACATAGACAACAATGATCTTACAATAAACCCCTTCTCCCCCCACTCCTCCCCAAGCAATGTCCACTCATGACAGACTGCATTGTAACATGTACACGAAGATGTTTGTAATGAATAACATGTCTACGTTGTTCTTGTTTCTGCTAGCCCACTCGTGCTTGTAAACCAGGTTAAAAATAAAGAATAAAAAAAATACAATCTACCTTGAAATGTAGACATTTCACACTGCACTGTTTACCTATATTTTGCAACGAAGTGCCTCCTTCTTGGCCCAAGAATTTGTGCTGCCTGGGTCCAAGGATGAAATGCCGCCCCGCCCGCACCAAAAGCACAACTTCTATTATGCTATGCAGTGTGTGTAATGAATGCAAAGTCTGTTTGTGTAGTGGATACTGTTTGTATTGTGTTTGTGTGTAGTGAATGCAGTGTATGTGTCATGGATGCTGTCTGTTTTTGTGTCATGGTTCTAGTGTGTATTGTATGTAGTGTGTGAACTATATTGTCTGTGTGTGTGGATGCAGAGTCTGTGTAGTGCATTCATATTTGTGTGGTGGATGCAGGGTGTCTAGTGGATGCAGTGTCATGTGTAGTGAATGCAGTTTCTGTATATAGTAGTGCATGTAGTGTTGGAGAAGTGCTGGGGGGTGGGGCTGAGCAGTTTAAATTACCTGAGTGCTGGAAGGTGAGGACAGTTTAGGAAGGTGACAGTATAGGGGGGCAGTGTTTAGGAATGTGACAGTATGGGAGGGCAGTGTATAGAAAGGCCGTGTGGGGAAGCAGGGTTTGGAGGGACAGGCTGAGGGGTTGGAGGCTGTGGGAGTCCAGGGGAGCAAGCTGTGGGGGGCAGTCTGTGAAGGACGTGGGGGTTGCAGGGTGTAAGGTGTAAGGGGGCAGGCTGTAAGGAGTGGGGCAGGGTGTGGAGGTGCAGGTTGTGGGGGAACATGGTGTGGGTGTGCAGCTGGCAGGCTGTAAGGGATGGGGCAGGCTTTAGGCTGGCAGGCTGTAAGGGATGGGGCAGGATTTGGTGCAGGGTTTGTGGGGGGGCAGGCTCTGGTGGGGGGTTGCAGGCTGTGTTGTGGGGTGGGTAGGTTGTGGGCGGAGGGGGGCACAGACTGTGTGTGGTGGGGAGAATGTGATCCACTTGAGAAAGCCCTGAGGGGAGAAACGCGTTGTGGTATTTTAATTGCTGTATTTTATTAAAGGTATTTTGGCCACTTTCAACTTGTGAGTCAGCCATTTTACTCTTTTATTTATTTTTACCTGGCACCAGAGTTTTTATTGTTCCAGTGAGAATTTTACTCCAAAGAATCCTTGGTGGGGATTATACCACTCAAGCTTTATCCATTGAGCAGTGTGCCTGCTCAATAAAATGTGAGTAACCACTTGGTATTTTATTTTTATACAATGAGCACTATTATTGTTTCTTTTATATTTCATATGGTCCTCATACCAACAAGATATCCATCTACTACAAAACTTCACATATCCCATAAGTGGGGAATGTACCTCTGTATGCCATCCACACTAGAGCTAGTCTTATAGCTCTGGAAAAAGTGAGTAGGACCATATAGACCTCTAAAAATAGTACTTAGTACCTGTTGGGAAATACTGCACCATTATTTGCGGTCTCTTTATCTTTTCGGATTTCAGAAATATCCCATGCCCATACCTTATTGAGGAATACTTCCCCTAACAAGATTGTGACTGATTTCTTATACAAGGTTTTATTTGGACTTTTTGCTGTATTTATCAGGCATAGACTCTTTTGGACTTACTTTTTGGACTCTTGATTATTATTCATTAACCTATTTCGAACTCTTTTTGGATTTTTATCTTATATAATTGTATATGTGCTTGTGTAGTTTATAATCAGGTTTCTTTTCCACCTATGGCGCTGCTTCCCCCTTCACCTTTTTTTGTTTTGTCTACTCTACAGGGCCTGTGAGGGAGCCTTATTTTTGAGGTATGCTGCCTTATATGTATATCTGTAAGATCTAGTATATTAGTGGTGATCCTTTGTACATATTTTGTAAGTCAGATGCTCAGGGCAATTTCTGCCTTTTGAGGTCGGCTGCATTGAGCCAACAAAACCAGGTAGTAACAGGACCTGTTGACAGCTTGAAAGCCAAGGGTGTGTAACCAGGTTAATTTATTATAAAAATGTCAGTTTCTATTGAAATCTGCACTTTCTGCAAAATAAAAAAAAAGGACACACTTCACACGTAAAGCTTTTCATCAAGCTTAAGTTGTTTAGTGGTTTGAAGTGAGCCTTTAAATATTTTCTTATTAATGCATTCATTTAGTGTAAATACAATCATAGTGCTGACTACATTGACTAAATGGCATCATAGCAAAACAAAACTTTAGAAAATAACTGTTTTCACTGGTTCTCACACTTCTGACACGACAATGCTATTTTTAAGTGATGATAATTGTGTTCCTCATTTCCACTTTAGCTGAGAATGTACTCCAGCCTTTGTGAAATAAGGGAAATCTTGAAATGTGAAAAAATGACAGTGGATCTATCACCTGCAAATTTCTTACATTTTTCTTTTTTTCATTCTATTATTGGTGTTTTTGTCCTAACACCGTATACAATCCATCTAATAAGTTATGCTGACTCGTACCAACATTTCAAATGGACAAAGAAAAGTATTTTAATTTTAGGGGTATGAGTGGGGGTGTGACCAGGGTCTAGGCTGTTCTGAGAAACTTTAGGTGACTGATAATAGCAGTGGGTTGTTTTTTGCAACTAAAATGTAATTCAGAAGAAGAAGAATGCATCTTCTTTATTCAGACTGGTTACTAAATACATTTTATTGCAGTTTAACGACTCATTACTGTAAATACTATTTCTGTGGGGCTCTTTTCTACACTCAGGTAGACTGGCATATTGCGCATGTGCACTGACTTAAGATGAATACCGGCCCAGATGACAGGACATTGTTCCTGATTTTCTGACAGGCATGCTGCTTTACAAATGTCGCCATGTATGATCATGACGTTCATCTTTCTGGTTGAGCTCTAAAGCCTGATACTGGAAATACGTGTAGAACTGGAATCACATTTGGAACTTCATTGGCCATAATTGGAGGGGCTTGTAAGGTGGAACTTTGAACACTGAGAATTAAAAAAAAAAAAAAATTCTACCCTTAATACCCTAAGGAAGTTCAGGGCAAAACAGATTGGGATTTCAGAGCATTCTGAAGCCTTATTCTCTGGCTTGGTATCTGATATTAACCCTGGACATGGTCGTTCCCCCTATTGCAAGGGATCTGGACCCAAAACAAGCAGGTGGATTGACAATTGTGTCCATTGCTGGGGCCATCTGTCTTTCATATTGGAGGTCTTTTGACCTATCTATGTGCCCTTGTGGCCACTTTCAGTGGTGTCATTGGGGTAATCACTATCATTGTGTCTGATTTTGTACTTGATTTTACACTTGTGGCTTCTCAGTTTTGGCTTTATTTTTGTTAAATAAATCATGACACGGTGTAATATCCATGTTTTGTTGTTCATTTGCGGTTGTATTTACCTAATTATAAGACCTTCTAAGCAACAGATGACTGTTATGTCCTGATAAGTAAAACCATAGAATTCAAAGAGGATGGACTTTATTTTTCGTGTGTGTATGTATATATATGTATGTATGTATATTTTTTGTGTGTGTGTGTATATATTTATTTATTTCTGTGGTGAGTGGGAGTAGTGACCATGTCATACCACAATTAAAAACTGTTTTATTAAACACTGTTTGAGTAACCATTTAAGTGTAAATTGTGAGGAATGCAAACTGAATTAAATTATTTAGGCCACAACAGCTGAGCTGAATTTTACTATATCCTTTTTACTATTATGGCCTCAAATGTGAATACTGAAATATGTTGCTTGCATTCTATTAATTGTTTTGTTGCAGTGTGGCTTCATAAGATTAAATCCCTGTGTATTCATTCCCTGATTATCTCTGCACTTCACTTCAAACCATCTTGACTAGAATACTTGTTTACAGCATTGTACGGCAACATTACAGTCAGGCATTTCTCATTGGGACACTGAGCAATTCAAGAGAAATAGTAAAGAACCATTATGTGAATATAGTTTTACTGATTAGTGTTCATGAGGGAGAAAAATATGCAGCTTCTATGACCATCCCTAGGGCAAACCTAAGGTTAGTTTTATGATCATGAGTCATGAAGCAGTTACAGGATTGTGATATGTTTGTTAGTCCATCAGTGTATTAAATGCCCCTACCTATATATTTTCCTTTCTATTTCAAAATCTTGGGAATACTTTATTAGATAATCTAGGTCAGTGGTTTACAACCTTTTTTTTTTTTTTTTTTTTTCACTTGAGTACCCCTTGGCAGACCATTTTCATAAATTGTACCCCACATATTGGCAAAATGTTTGTAATTAATATAGTTGCATTTATTTCAAATGTATATGTTTTTATATGTCCCTTTTTCACTGCCCTAGGCTCCCCCTGCTACTCCTCTGCCCCAGACACACACACTAACACACGTGCAGATACACAGACACACACACACACTGACACACATGCAGATACGAAGACACATAGATACATACACTGACACACTTAAGAAGGTTACATACCCTTACCCGCGAACACACAAAAACGCATACAGGTCTGTTTTTTGGCTGGCTGGGTCTGGTGGGAGTTAGGGGCCTGCTGCTCTTCCGGCCTGCCTCGTCCTCTCCCGCGCGGCTTGCTCAGTGTGTGATCTGTGAGGAAGTAGTTATGAGCTGTTCCTCCCAGCTCTGGCTGCACTAACACAGGGGTCATGTCATGCTATTAAAGCGCCGCATCGCGTAACTGGGTCCCTGAAGGCACATGTGTATCGGGTGACCCTAAGTGCATGGGCCACCTGATAGACTCAGAAAAAAAGAGAGTGAGCGCTAATTAACAGATGGGGGATCAAGGGAGATCCCACAAACCCTTCGGAAACAAAGATAGTGAGAAAAATAGAAGTAAGGGCTGCACCAATTCTTATAACAAAATATAATGAGCAGTGAAAATCACAACATAAAATAAGTAAAAATCACAACACACACAGTAAACAATTCAAATATCAGTAAAAAAAAAAAAAAAAAGTCCAATAAAAAGGATCTTACTCAGATCAAATATAGAATAAAGTGCTCAAAGGGGAGTAATATCCTCAGTGTCTTTTTGATGAATCCACTCATATGAAAGACAATAACCAATAGTGCAATATGAACGTTCCAATATGTATATATGTGGAATAAACTCACATTTAGTAGAGCTATAGCTAGCTCTAGTGTGAAGGGCATACAGCGATATATTCCCCGCTTATGAGATATGTTGTGGGGTTCTTGCGTCTGGTGTATGATCCGCACTCAGGAAAGAGGGTAAAAAGAGACAACTAATAGTGCTCTCTGAATAAAAACAACAGTATATATAACAATTAAAATAGTACTCACAAGCAAAGAAGAGGCTAACTGTTCCTTGGTAACACTGCTGGTGGTTAGTGATGTCGCGAACATAAAATTTTCGGTTCGCGAACAACGAATGCGAACTTCCGCAAATGTTCGCGAACCGCCATAGACTTAAATAGGCAGGCGAATTTTAAAACCCACAGGGACTCTTTCTGGCCACAATAGTGATGGAAAAGTTGTTTCAAGGGGACTAACACCTGGACTGTGGCATGCCGGAGGGGGATCCATGGCAAAACTCCCATGGAAAATTACATAGTTGATGCAGAGTCTGGTTTTAATCCATAAAGGGCATAAATCACCTAACATTCCTAAATTGTTTGGAATAGCGTGCTTTAAAACATCAGGTATGATGTTGTATCGATCAGGTAGTGTAAGGGTTACGCCCGCTTCACAGTGACAGACCAAACTCCCCGTTTAACGCACCGCAAACAACCGCAAACAGTCCATTTGCACAACCGCAAACTCCCCATTTGCACAAGGTTGGATACCAAGCTAGCCATGTCCCGTTCCTTGTCCTCACTGATGTCATTGAAGGTCTCTTCCTCCACCCAGCCACGTACAACACCAAGGGTCCCCAAAAGGTGACAACAAGCCCCCTGGGACGCCTGCTGTGTTTGGTCTTCCACCTCCTCAAAGCCACCTTCCTCCTCTGACTCCTCTTCTTCAGACTCCTCTCTCTGCGTTGCCTCTCTGCATTATTATAAGGTGTTTTAAGTAGTACTATTCCTATCAGTTTAATCCCTGTTACGTCCCCTATCAGGGGACGTGTATATGGCATCGATTTTAGCAACCGGGAGATGGAAAAAGATGCTTGGTCGGTCCTCTTTCTTCAAATTTGGGGCACTGCGCGTGCAATCTAATGTGTCACCAGATAGGAGTGGTGTGTTAAGTAGTACTATTCTTATCAGTTTAATCCCAATGTCACGACTACTAGTGTGGTCCAGCACGCAGAAACTATGTAAACATATACATAGGCAAGAAAAGGAAAATAAAAGGACAGCGCGTAAACCGGACCTTAGAATGGCCGGACTAATACGCTAGAGACAGAGGAAAATGGGAAAGCCGAAGTCAAGGAAGCCAGAAAATACACAATACCGTTTACACAAGCCAAGTCAGGGGAACCAGAATTCAGAATAACCAGGGAAAAACCAAGATCAGGATACCAGGAAATCAGATTCACAATGATAAAGCACTCTCAGGAAACCAGGAACAGGAAACCACGACAGGGCAAGGTACTGGGGTGAGCTAGGGATTTAAATATCACTGTCAGTCCCTTCGGGATCCATCCCTCATTTATCTTAATAAAGGTGAGGTAATCTAGACTTTTTTGACCTAGGTAACTTCTCTTCTCAGTGACAATACCTCCTGCTGCACTGAAGGTCCTTTCTGATAGGACACTTGAAGCGGGGCAGGCCAGAAGTTCTATCGCAAATTGGGATAGCTCAGGCCACAGGTCAAGCCTGCACACCCAGTAGTCAAGGGGTTCATCGCTCCTCAGAGTGTCGATATCTGCAGTTAAGGCAAGGTAGTCTAGTACCTATCGGTCGAGTCGTTCTCTGAGGGTGGACCCCTAAGGGCTGTGGCGATGCGTAGGACTTAAAAAGCTCCGCATGTCCTCCATCAACAACATGTCTGTAAAGCGTCCTGTCCTTGCCGGCGTGGTCGTGGGAGGAGGAGGATTACTTTCACCTCTTCCCCTGTTAGATTCCCGTTGTGCTGTGACATCACCCTTATACGCTGTGTAAAGCATACTTTTAATTGATTTTGGAACTGCTGCATCCTTTCCGACTTTCCGTAATTCGGTAACATTTCAGGCACTTTCTGCTTATACCGGGGGTCTAGTAGCGTGGACACCCAGTACAGGTCGTTCTCCTTCAGCCTTTTTATACGAGGGTCCCTCAACAGGCATGACCGCATGAAAGACCCCATTTGCACAAGGTTGGATGCCGAGCTACTCATGTCCTGTTCCTTGTCCTCAGTGATCTCACTGAAGGTATGTTCTTCCCCCCAGCCACGTACAACACCACGGGTACCAGATAGGTGACAACGAGCACCCTGGGATGCCTGTTGTGGTTGGTCTTCCTCCTCCTCCTCAAAGCCACATTCCTCCTCTTCCTCACAATCCTCTTCCAGCGTTGCAGCAGGTCCAGCAAGCGATGCTGATAAGGCTGTTTCTGGTGGTGATGGTGACCACAACTCTTCCTCTTCACGCTCATCTACGGCCTGATCCAGCACTCTTCGCAGGGCACGCTCCAGGAAGAAAACAAATGGTCTGATGGTGCCTTGGTGCGACTGACTAGGTTTGTCACCTCCTCAAAAGGACGCATGAGCCTATAGGCATTGCGCATGAGCGTCCAGTAACGTGGCAAAAGAATTCCCAGCTCCGCAGAGGCTGTCCTAGCACCCCGGTCATACAAATACTCGTTAACAGCTTTTTCTTGTTGGAGCAGGCGGTCGAACATTAGGAGTGTTGAATTCCAACGTGTCGGGCTGTCGCAAATCAAGCGCCTCACTGGCATGTTTTTTCGCCACTGGATATCTGAAAAGTGTGCCATGGCCGTGTAGGAACGCCTGAAATGGCCACACACCTTCCTGGCCTGCTTCAGGACGTCCTGTAAGCCTGGGTACTTATGCACAAAGCGTTGTACGATCAGATTACACACATGTGCCATGCACGGCACATGTGTAAACTTGCCCAAATGCAATGCTGCCAACAAATTTCTTCCGTTGTCACAAACCACTTTGCCGATCTCCAGTTGGTGCGTAGTCAGCCACTGATCCACCTGTGCGTTCAGGGCGGACAGGAGTGCTGGTCCGGTGTGACTCTCTACTTTCAGGCAAGTCAACCCCAAGACGGTGTGACACTGCCGGATGCGGGATGTAGAATAGTACCTGGGGAGCTGGGGGGGTGCCGTTGATGTGGAGCAAGACGCAGCAGCAGAAGAGGACTCAGCCGAGGAGGTATGGAAGAGGGTGGAGTAGGAGTAGAGGAGATGGCAGCAGGCCTGCCTGCAAGTCGTGGCGGTGTCACCAACTCCTCTGCAGAGCCACGCATTCCATGCTTGGCAGCCGTCAGCAGGTCAGCAAATTTTTTGAACGCCTCAGACTCCACCAGCTTGTATGGTAAAAGCTGGCGGGCTAAGATTTCATTTAAGCCAGCTGTCAGACGCCGGGCAAGGGGATGACTTTGTGACATTGGCTTCTTACGCTCAAACATGTCCTTGACAGACACCTGACTGTGGGCAGATGAGCAGGAACTGCTCAAGGCGAGAGACGGAGGGGCGGATGGTTGAGAGGGGGCAAGGAGGACAGCAGTGGTTAACGTGGCTGAAGATGCTGGACCAGGAGGAGGATGGCGGCTTTGAGTTTGTGTGCTGCTTGTACTCATTTGTTGATCCAATAGGCGTTTGTGATGTGTGATCATGTGCCTTCGCAAAGCAGTTGTACCTAGGTGGGTGTTGGACTTCCCACGACTCAGTTTCTTTTGGCACAGGTTGCAAATGGCATCGCTGTTGTCAGAGGCAGACACACAAAAAAAATGCCACATTGCTGAGCTCTGCAATGACGGCATTCTGGTGGTGGCAACAGCATGCGTTGATTGGCGTGCTGTCTCGCTGACCCCGGGTGCCGATGCATGCTGTCTGACTGTGCCACTAGCTCCTTGCGATGACCTCCCCCTGCTTCCAACTCGTCTCCTCCTCCTCCTCTCTGTCTCCCCATCTTCTTCTCTTCTAGCAGGCACCCAAGTGACATCCACGGACACATCGTCATCATCAACCGCTTCACTTGTATCTGACAACTCAGCAAAGGAAGCAGCAGCGGGTACAACATCATCATCATCACACCGTACGTCCATGTGTGTAATGCTGCCTGACTGAGACATATCCCTGCTATCTACATCCTCTGGCAATAATGGTTGCGCATCACTCATTTCTTCCAACTGATGTGTAAATAACTCCTCTGACATACCAAGTGAAGCTGCTGTGATGCTAGTGTTGGTGGTGGCGGCAGGCGGGCGAGTGGTAACTTGAGAGGTGCCCGAAGCTAAGCTGGAGGAGGATGGTGCGTCAAGGTTCCGAGCGGAAGCTGTAGAAGATTGGGTGTCCTGTGTTAGCCAGTCAACTATGTCCTTAGAACTTTTCGAGTTCAGGGTACGTGGCCTCTGAACACTGGGCATTATTCTAGGGCCAAAAGGAATCACAGCACCACGACCACAATGGCCACTGCGGGGTGGCCTGCCTCTGCCTGTCATTTTTTTTGATTACTGGTACTATGCGTGCAAGCTACTGTGACAACAGATATGAGTGGCACTGTGCAGTGGCAGAAGTTGGCAGAAGTTGGCAGAGTAGATGCTGTAGGCCTGACACACAGGCTTGCAGACAACTAACTGCTATTCAATCTATTACAGTCAAAATTGTATTTTTTTTTTTAAAATGTACACTACTGTTACACCAGATATGAGTTGCACGGGTGTGACACTGTGCCCTGGCAGGCCCTGAAACGCACACGTGTGAAGGAAACTGACTGCTATTATATTACAGTCTAAGTTTTTTTTTTGTTAAATGCAAGCTATTGTGACACCGGATATGAGTGGTGGCACTGGGCAAGTGGGCACAGTATATGCTGTGAGCCTGACACACAGGCTGGCAGGCAGGCAACTGCAATTACATTACACAGAAAAAAAAAAAGCAGACTGATGTTCTAGCCCTAAAAAGGGCTTTTTGGGGTGCTGTCCTTACAGCCGAGAACAGATGAGTCCTTCAGGACTGTAGTGGACACTGAATACACTAGCCTAGCTATCAATTTCCCTATCAAATCAGCAGCAGCTGCACTGTCCCTCCTCTCACTAAGAATGCAGCCTCACAATGAATGTAAAATGGATGCTGTCCAGGAGGTGGGAGGGTCTACTGCTGATTGGCTGGAATGTGTCTGCTGACTGAGGTACAGGGTCAAAGTTTACTCAGTGATGATGAATAGGGGGCGGACCGAACAGCGCATATGTTCGCCGTCCGTGGTGAACGTGAACAAGCGATGTTCGCCGGGAACTATTCGCCAGCGAACCGTTCGGGACATCACTACTGGTGGTATGATCCCCACCTCGGATTTCTTGGAGTGCAGGATACTAAAAAATGCTAGGTAAAAATCAAGTGTATAAAAAGATAGTTGGCACCAGGTTAGTGACCAAAAAATCTTTATTACAATACACAATTAAAAATCCATAAACGTTTCGCCTCAGGGCTTTATCAAAATAGAATAACACATAATACTTAAAGGTAGGCAGACAATGTAATAGAGCAGCAGGAAATGCTAGCAGAATGCTTGGTTGTATAGGGAGAGGTACTAGCAGTAGAAAGAGAGAAGTGCTCATGCCATTGTACAGAACACTGGTGAGACCTCACTTGGAGTATTGTACGCAGTACTGGAGACCGTATCTTCAGAAAGATATTGATACCTTAGAGAGAGTTCAGAGAAGGGCTACTAAACTGGTTCATGGATTGCAGGATAAAACTTACCAGGAAAGGTTAAAGGATCTTAACATGTATAGCTTGGAGGAAAGACGAGACAGGGGAATATGATAGAAACATTTAAATATATAAAGGGAATCAACACAGTAAAGGAGGAGACTATATTTAACCCCTTAAGACCGGAGGGCGTACAATTACGCCCTATTTTAGGTGGCTCTAAACGCCGCCGGGCGTAATTGTACGCCCTCTGGTCTTTCATTACTTACCTGGTCGCCGGCGGTCCCACAGCGGCGATCGCGGTGGGGGGGGAACTCCCAGGGAGCCGCCCCCTCCCCCCCCCCCGGCGCAGATCCTCCGGTGCCCCCCGGCCATGTGAGAGTGAGGTCCTTGCGAAGACCTCACAATCACATGGCCGGGATAGCTGGCTTCTGTAATGACAGGTGGTCCCCCTGCTGGCTGGAAATAAAAATAAAATAAATTTCAAAAGTGTAAAAAAAAATGTATACTTAGATTTTATTTATATAGATATATATATATATATATATATATATATATATATATATATAGATATATATATATATATATATATATATATATATATATATATATATATATATATATATATATATATATATATAGATATAGATATATATATATATATATATAGATATATATATATATAGATATATAGATATAGATATATATATATATATTCTAAGTATAAAATATATTTATATATATTTATACATACACACACTGTCTAGGTGTGTGTTATTGCTGTGATACTTTTTACTGTTTTGAAACACAAATATTTGTGTTCAGCTAAGTCTCCCGAGTACAACAGTACCCCTCATGTACAGGTTTTATGGTGTTTTCAAAAGTTACAGCGTCATATATAAGGCTTGTGTTTCATTTTTTTCACATTAAAATTCGCCAGATTGGTTACGGTGCCTTTGAGACCCTATGGTAGCCCAAGAATGAAAATTACCCCTATGATGGCATACCATTTGCAATAGTAGACAACCCAAGGTATTGCAAACGGGGTATGTCCAGTCTTTTTTAGTAGCCACTTAGTCACAAACACTGGCCAAAATTGGCGTTTTTTGCATTTTTCACACACAAACAAATACTAACGCTAACTTTGGCCAGTGTTTGTGACCAAATGGCTACTAAAAAAGACTGGACATACCCCATTTGCAATACCTTGGGTTGTCTACTATTGCAAATGGTATGCCATTATGGGTGTAAATTTCATTCCTGGGCTACTATACAGTCCCAAAGGCAACGTAACCAATCTGGCGAATTTCAATTTCAAATGTAACGTGCTATATTTGACCCTGTAACTTCCCAAAACGCCATAAAACCTGTACATAGGGGGTACTGTTTTACACGTGAGACTTTGCTGAATACAAATATGTGTATTTTATTGCAGTAAAAGCAAACAGTATTATGACATTGACAGTTAAAATGTCATGTAGAACTAAAAAAAAAAAAAAATCTTATTTTCTCCCATTTTTTCATATTAAATTATGTTTCATAGCTAAATATTTGATATTAAATGAAAGCCCTGTTTCCCCTGAATAAAATTATATATAATAAGGGTGGGTGCATTTACTATGAAAGAGGTGAATTACGGTTGGACAGACATGTAGCGCAAATGCCAGGTTTTGTTTACATTTTGTTTCGTTCACAACGTGTACATTTGGCTCTGCCCTTAAGGGGTTAAAAGAAGAAAAACTACCACAACAAGAGGAAATAGTCTTAAATTAGAGGGACAAAGGTTTAAAAATAATATCAGGAAGTATTACTTTACTGCGAGGGTAGTGGATGCATGGAATAGCCTTCCAGCTGAAGTGGTAGAGGTTAACACAGTAAAGGAGTTTAAGCATGAGTGGGATAGGCATAAGGCTATCCTAACTATAAGATAAGGCCAGGGACTAATGAAAGTATTTAGAAAATTAGGCAGACTAGATGGGCCGAATGGTTCTTATCTGCCGTCACATTCTATGTTTCTATACCTGGCAGTATGAGTTTAAATAGGGATAAAAATTATTAAAATTGGCGCCAAAACAAAGAACAGCCAATTACAGTACACATGGTGAAATACAACTTTAAAACAGGCTAAAACATATATAGGTAGTAAACAGTAATTGTAGTACTTGGGTATTTAATGTAAAAACTAGGTGTCTATCACAGAATATAAGTGATTTATTCTGATCATGTGACAATTTTCAGCCATTTCTTGGGAAATGTAGTTTTTTGTTTTGTTTTTTTCTCATAGCAAATAGTAAATGATAACAAAAATATATGAAGATTATATATGTGAGGGCTAGACTTAATAAGGAATATAACAAGGTAAAATAAAAATAGCTAAAACAAGCCGATGATAGAAGTAAAACAATTAAAACATTAAATAAAACAATTAAAAAAAGCAGATGATAGAGGTAAACATGCATACATCTAATGGACATTGTGACGAAAGCAACACTGGTTTTTGGAGGGGCTTGTTTGCCAGCCTCCTACCCTGGGACTGTGGGCCCTATGATAACCCATGTTCAAAAGTACTGTTTCTGCCCCTTAGACTTTTAACTGGAACAGATTCAAACATGTGGCGGTGGACATCTTAAAGGGACACTATAGTCACCCAGACCACTTCAGCTCAATGAAGTGGTCTGGGTGCCAGGTCCCTCAGGTTTTAACCCTTCAGATGCAAACATAGAAGTTTCAGACAAACTGCTATGTTTACATTGAGGGTTAATCCAGCCTTTAGTGGCTGTCTTCCGGACAGCCACTATTAGCGCATCTGCGACGCTGGAGGCATATTATGCCTCCATCGCGCAGAGTGTCCATAGGAAAGCATTGAGAAATGCTTTCCTATGGACACTTTGAATGCGCATGCGCGGCAAATACGTTTTTACATGAAATTAAATACTCAAGTACTATTACTGTTTATTACCTATATATGTTTTAGCCTATTTGTACTGTGATTGGCTGTTCTTAGTTTTGGAGCCAATTTTAATCATTTGTATCCCTATTTAAACTCATACTGCCAGGTATTATGTGTTATTCCATTTGATAAAGGCGTTTATGGATTTTTATTTGTGTATTGTAATAAAGATTTTTCTTTGGTCACTTCTCTTGTGCCAACTATCTTTTTTTTTTTTTTTATACACTTGATTTTTACCTGGCATATTTTAGCATTCTGCACTCCAAGAAATCCGAGACGGGGATCATACCACCAGCACTGTTACCAAGGAGCAGTTAGCCTCCTCTTTGCTTAGGAGTATTATTGTAGTTGTTTATATATACTGTTGGTTTTTATTCAGTGAGCACTATTAGTTGTCTCTTTTTATCCTATTTCCTGAGTGTGGCTCATACCCCAGACGGAAGAACCGCACAGCATATCCCATTATCGGGGATTATACCGCTGTACGCCCTTCACACTAGAGCTAGCTATAGCTCTACTAAATGTGAGTTTATTCACGTTTATTTCACATATATACATATTGGAACTTTCATATTGCACTGTTGGTTCTTTTTATCTGTTTTTTGTCTTTCATATGAGTGGATTCATCCAGAAAAAGACACTGAGGATATTACTCCCGTTTAAGCACTTTATTCTATATTTGATCTGAGCAAGATCATTTTTATTGGACTTCTATTTTTCTCACCCGATACTCAGCCTGTGGTTCTCAACTTGTGCGCACCACTGCCATTACCGAAAAGTTTTGTGTACCCCCTAGGGCACTGAATTGTATCTCTGGGGGTACACGTACAACGGGTTGGGAACCGCTGATCTAGATAATAGAATATTAAATAAGTTTATGTATTTCATGTTAATCGTGGGTCATCTTTAATCCCTTGCAAACTGTTTTCTTGAGTTTCTTTGCATTCTGTTTTTGAGGCAGTATTGGCACTTCTGTTATGTTTTTTTCTTTTATTGTTCTTCTCCACTTTTCAGTACTCTGTAGTAGTTAAGGAGCCTGTAGTCAACCAGGATTCCTGACTGTTAATTGCCAAACAGTTTGAAGCACAAGTTAACACTTACCTGCCTCTTTCACAAGCCACCAAGTATGAACTTCTGTTTTCTCAAGCTAGTTCAGAACTACATACGCATTTTAACTCAAGTTTATACCATCAAGTGACACCTGGGTCTCCCTGGTGAGAGCAGGGACTTAGCCCTTTTGACACCAAGTCGGCCCCCTTACCTAGGTTACAAAGGTGATATATACCCATCTTTATCCAGTGCTGCATGTCTGGCTCTGCCCCCGATCTGCCTCCTTGGCTGATATCACCAAAATTTATGATCTCAGCCAATCACAATGCTTTCCCATAGGAAAGCATTGGATTGGCTGAGATTGTCAATTCTGATGATCTCAGCCAAAGAAGCAGGGCGGAGCCAAACATCACCATGGCCAATCAGCATCTCTTCATAGAGATGCATTAAATCATTTTCTATGGGAAAAGTTCAGCGTCTGAAAAGACAGTGTTTACATTAAAATGCCTGCAGGGACATGCGATATTCTACAGAGCAACTACATTAAATTATTGTGTCTCTTTAAAAATTTTACAATTTACCAGCCACAATTTGTGACAGATCCACTTTAGGGACTGCTGGTCTTTCATTCATACATGAAACTGTTCTTTCTGAATTCTGTTACAAAAACAGCTTATATTTTGGATATAATGAGTTTTAAAGATGGTATAAATTGGGGGGCGGGGCCTGGACATCATGGCGGCTGGACGCACTTCGTGTGAGCTCCGAGCTCAATGCCTCGATTAAGCCTGAATCTAGCCAGCCAGCCGGCCACAACGCCACGAAAAGAGACTTACCTACCTCGGGAGCCAGCAGAGGAACCCCGGGCCTGTCGCCCGCGGGTACACTTCACGGCCGACGGAGGTCGGAGGAGTGAGGCCTAGTACGGCCGTCGGACGGGGGAAGCGGCCGATCCCCCGCTCGGTGTGCAGCTGTGCAACCCCAAGCTCCTCTCTCAGCCCTGTTTCCCCCCCCTTTGGACCGGCGGGGGTCATCCCGGTCCGACCTGGCTAGTCTCAAGCACGAAACAGCCCCACAAAACTACAACCAAGCAAAGCTCACAAAATGGCGGCCTGTCATATCCAGCGTGAACCAGCCATCACGCAGTCTGAGACGGCACTGCTAACTCCCGCGCAAATAACGCAGAAGAAACTGGATGACATTTTCGACTGTTTCTGGGCTAAGCTGGAAGCCCGTCAAGCTGCAGCAGCTATTCATCACGGGGAGGTTCACGGTAGGGCGGTGAGTTGGCCCCCTCTGATCCCCCGCATATTAAACATACACAAGCCTATCAGTCAGCGATCACCTAGGCCGAGGGCCGTAACGGGTACAGCCCCACAGCATCACCCACGCAGACGGAAGATCGCCCGCAACCGGCAGCGGAATACCACCACGACCTCCCATCTACCCCATGCAGGGGAGGTCTGGGACCCTAGGAGCCCACACGACCGTGGCAAGAGGATGCTAGCCTACCAACCGGCCTGGGGCGTGAGAGATGCCCAACTAAACCGCCTGAATGCTGCAGCCTCCCTAGCACCCGACGTGCAAGACTTTCGATTTCCTACCTCGGGCATTGGCTGAGCGCTGACAAGCTTCTTACAGCCGCACCACCATTGGAGTCCTGATCATAAGCGGCAACCGTCACGGATGTGACTCGCACTCACTAATGCCAGCCTCACAGTACTTCCCCACGTGAATGCAATCAAAGGCATCCGAACGTTTCTGTCTATGGTTTATTTCTGATTTGTTTATGCTTTAATTATTTGTGCTACCTCTGTGCTCCAGGTCCATCCGTACGTTAGACCTCTGCCTAACATATGACACATAGCATGTTCACACGTAATCTTGTACCTATTCTCATTAGAGACCTGCTTAAATACCACGACTAACCATATTAGGCGTAAATCTTTAACTAAATATATTTAGAGGGCAACTATTGAATAGCCGCATAGGCACAACCCGATGAGACAGCCAGGCTTCTCAGCTAGTTACTCAGCAACGTTACACCTCATGCACCTGTATCTATACCACGCATGTTTTATGGTTAACTATCCAACCTGTAATTACTTTGTACACATGACATTTTGTATAAGCAAAACTACGGTAAAACATAACTAATCCCATTACTAATACATAAGCTCGCATACGTAGACTAATTACACTATTATTGTCCTGCTCAAGTATTCCTAGCCTGTTTACTCTCATAAATATAAAAATGTGCTGTATTACTCTGCTATGACACTGTCTGCTTTTGAAATGCCTGTACTAGCTGTCGTGGCAATACAGGCCCATCTGTTATGTTTTCTTATGCACAAGAAAAATAAAGAATTTAAAAAAAAAAAAAAGATGGTATAAATTAGTTTTAAGTGTATTACCTCTTTGAATTATTTAGATTATGAGCTTGTTGGGACAGGGCCCCCTTCACCCACAGTTCCAAATGTCCTACATGTTTTGTGAGAATTAAATGTTTGTCTTGACAAATGTACAATGCTTCGGATATATTAATATAAAGATAGTTGTAATAAAATACATAACTTTGTGCTTAAAAGAACACTATAGGGTCAAGAACACAAACCTGTATTCCTGACCCTGTAGAGTTAAAAACTCCATGTTGCCCACTTGTCCCACTCTTGCCCCCCTAAATATTGCAAAATCTTACTTTTGTTCAAGTCTGCAGCTGCTGGCTCTGCCCCAGATCTGCCTGCTTGGCTGACATCAGAAGGGATTATGTGAGCCAGTCACAATGCTTTCCCATAGGATTGGCTGAGACGGTCAAAAGAGGCAGATCAGTGGAAGAGGCAACACAAGCCAAACACAGCCCTGGCCAACCAACATCTCCTCATAAAGATGCATTGAATCAATGCATTTCTATGAGGAGTTTGTGTCTACATGCAGTGTGTCCCTTTGTGGCTATAGCTGTCACTCACTAAATTTCTCACTTCTGAAGTTGTCAGGAAGTATAGTTCGCTAGAGGAACAATTGTATAAAATATGTTAGCTGGTACATTTAAATTCCATGGAGTTGGTGGTGTGTGTTGTTGTTTTATTTTTGTTTTTTTGTTTTTTTGTTTTGTTTTGTTTTTTGCCTTTTATTGTGTGTGTGTGTGTGTGTGTGTGTGTTTGTTTTTAAGACTGTAAATCCTGAACTGTATATTATGGGAGAAAGTTACCTGGAATGTAAATATTTAAAACCAAATCATTTTTGCACGCAGGCAAAGAAACTGCTTTATTTAATTGCTAGCACACTGCTATGTTCTGTGTTCTGAATAACCTCTGCCTGTGACACGGCAGTCCTCCTATACCATATGTGTACAAGAAGGCAGTGTGCCTGCTTTAGGTTTCTGCTTGAGACTGGTTTGCTTCAATACCACTGGTGTGCCATCTCATTCAGCTCAAGTTCACACTGAGAGATATATCTTGGCTTTGGTGAAAGCTGTACATTGACCCCTGTATCTACAACAAACTGTCAGAACTCAGTGCTGCCATCTGGTGGTTACTTAGTGCAGATATTTTTATCAGACCAGCAAGATGATGGCAGCTAAAATGGTAAAGACGCACATTAATTCTCTCATTTATTTCAAGGCTGTAGCAATCCATAAGTACTTTTCTCCTGCTAATATAATACAGACAAAACTATTTCCTTCCATGTAATCTGTTTTATTACAACAAAAAAGTAAAAGGAGTTGCAAATATTTTGATAGTATCATATGTACTCGTCTATAAGTTGATATCGTTTATAAGTAGAGTGCAGTTTTTTGACCAACAATTGTGAAATAGGCTATGTCTTGTGGATAAGTTGAGGGTACTGCATTCGAATGGAATTGTTCCCTTTTTGTTCGGTTACCGAACAGACCCTGTGTGGTCTCCCTTGTTAACACCTCATAATCACCGACCACGCCTGGCTGTTAACAACAAACAAGCATTCCCTGGGTGGCTGCCATTCATATATACGAACGCATATGTTCAAACAATCTTGTCTCCCGAACTCAGGCAGCGGTACATGGTCGGCGGGTGCATGGATCTGAGTCGGCTACACAAGCCCGCAAACCCCACTGAAACTTGTACCCCTGCACGTTTGACTTCCTGAACAGCTACTAGAACGGCGTTTTGGAGTTGAAATTCTATCTAAACTAGCACCTACCCGTGGATAAGTCGACTCTATGTTTTAAAATGAAGTTTATGGCTAAAATTTCTCAACTCTTACACGAGTATATACAGTAAAATGTATATGTGCATTTTTTTATTTTTTTTTTATAACTTGTAACTAGCATTTACAAATATGTCTTGATTTATTTCCAGCATCTTTCATGTATTTCAATTAAATTACATTTGTTTATAATAAAATTTAACTTTCCACACACTCTTCTCCCCCATAAGAAGTTCCCTTTTCTGTAGTAAGATTACTGAACACAATATCACTTAGTTTGTCTTCTTCATCCCTCTAGTGGGGTTGTTCACTAGAGTGAGAATTGTCATTTAAAGGGACACTATAGTCACCCAGACCACTTCAGCTCTGTGAAGTGGTCTGGGTGCCAGGTACCCCAGGTTTTAACCCTTTAAATGTAAACATAGCAGTTTCACAGAAACTGCTATGTTTACATTGCAGGGTTAATCTAGCCTCTAGTGGCTGTCTTCCTGACAGCCGCTAGAGGCGCTTCTGCGATGCTGGATGTGAAAATCGCATTCAGCATGCAGAACGTCCATAGGAAAGCATTGAGAAATGCTTTCCTATGGACTGTTTGAATGCGCGCACGGCTCTTTCCGCGCATGTGCATTCTGCTCCACTCGGGAGCCCCCGGGGGGGGTGGGGGGAGCAGGGGGAGGTCACCAGTGCTGGATTAAGGAAAGTGGCTGAAGGGGGTCTCTGAGGGTGGAGGGGACCTAAGGGTTACATAGTGTCAGGAAAATTAGTTTGTTTTCCTGACACTATAGTGATCCTTTAATTTTAAATTTCTTAGACGGTGCACGCAAAGACTCAAAGCACCCTGACGCCTTCAAAGCACAGTGGTGAGGGTGCTTGGCGTAACCCTTTAATTCCACCTGAAAGCAAAGAAATGACAAACCTATGAGACAGAATTATGTAAGTGATTTTTTTTTTTTTTTTTTGCATGCTAATGTTTTTTGCAGCTAGTTTTAAAAAGTTATTGTGCTTATATGTTAATCATTATTACTTTACTGAAAGGGTAGTGTATGCATGGAATAGCCTTCCAGCTGAAGTGGTAAAGGTTAACACAGTGAAGGAGTTTAAAGACCACTATGGTGCCAGGAAAACAAACTCGTTTTAATGGCACTATAGGGTCTGTGGGTCCCCCCCCTCCCGCCGGGCTGAAGGGGGAGGAAGGGGTTAAAGGCTTACCTTTCTCCAGCGCCGGGCTCCCTCTGTGCTGGGGACTCTCCTCCTCCTTTGGGCGTCATCGGCTGAATGCGCATGCGCGGCAAGAGCCGCGCACACATTCAGTCAGTCCATAGGAAAGCATTCTCAATGGACGCTGGCGTCTTCTCACTGTGAAAATCACTAGAGGCTGGATTAACCCATATGTAAACATAAGTTTCTCTGAAACTGCTATGTTTACAGCAGGCAGGGTTAACCCTAGATGGACCTGACAACCAGACCACTTCATTAAGCTGAAGTGGTCTGGGTGCCTATAGTGGTCCTTTAAGCATGCGTGGGATAGGCATAAAGCTATTCTAGATATAAGATAAGGCCAGTGACTAATGAAAGTATTCAGAAAATTGGGCAGACTAGATGGGCCGAATGGTTCTTATCTGCCGTCACATTCTATGTTTCGATTATATTGTCAGTAAAGAATTCAAAAACCTGTTATTTCTCTCTACAGGTACGAGAACTGGTTTTGGACAACTGCAGGGCGCATGAAGGCAAAATCGAGGGACTTACATCTGAGTTTGTCAATCTAGAGTTCCTAAGCCTGATAAATGTATTATTGATGTCAGTCTCAAATCTTCCGGAGCTCCCCAAGTTAAAAAAGGTAGGCCTTTAACTTGATGATGTATTGCAAACAAAGTTTCTAGCTGAATGCTTTTTAAAACCATTGCAAAGGACTTTCCAGGCATTTTAACTGCTTAATTGCAGTTTATATGTTTTGACAGCATATTCATACTGTATTTTTTTTCCAGATCAAAATCTTAGTACAGTATTGCAGAAAGAAGGGGGGTTGGATAATAACTTTGTACATTGTAATTCTGCTGATTTAGCCATGCCCCTTATTTTCACAAAGCAACCTGCTTATTGGATATAGTTCTAAGTACATACTCAGCTCAGCTAATGAGAGAACAGCGTGAGTTGAGCTGCAGCTTGACTCCTCCCTGACAGTCAGTCACTTTCCTATACCTGTACCATTTACTCTTGATGTACTATATATTTAAATAAGAACAGACACTATGGTGGGAGCGGTGTCAAGTCAGCAGCTCAGTTCACACTGATCTCTCATGGCTGAGCTATAATGTATACCTTCCAAACAGGAGGACAGTTTGTAAAATGGGGAGATATGGCTAAGGGGTTACGATTATACACAACGCACGAGTATGAGGCCAAACTTATCAATACACTTAAGTTGTATATAGGACAGGAATTACAACTTACCTGTATATGTCTGTTGCATGCTATCCTGTGGAAACCACATCTTCTGTTTGTGGTACATGACAACCTAGCCTGTATTACAATTCAATTCTCTGTGTTGGTATTTAATGTCACATAGGATTTTGAACAATCTTCTTGTGTATACATGTTGTATCTACGTAAATAGTTATGTTCTGTGATAATGTCAGTAATTGGTGACAGCTTGTATATAGGGGCTATCTAAGCACCATAACTACTACACATTGCTACGGTAGTTATAGGCCTTTTTTTTTTTTTTTTATTAGTTTGAAAGTTGCCTGGGTGCCCTGGGCACCTGAAATCTATCCTGTAGACACTTTTGTCCATATTTGGATGAATTGCATTGGCTGGGTACATTAGCTGATACTCTAGGCCAGCGTTTCCCAATTGGAGTTCCGCGAGAATACAAATGAGGTTCCGCCGTGATTTCCCCAAACAAAATGGCCACCGTGAATTTTATCACAAATCAGGGGCCCGATCGGGTGCCGCTGCCCTCTAAGAGCACGACTGGGCCCTTGTAGTATCGGCCCGCTTTGAGGAAGTGATGGCACTTTCTCCCAGCTTCACAGAGTTGCTGCTGCGCAGTAGGGAGGAGGCAGGAGAGGGCCGCCCAGAGAGTGAGCAGCTCACTCCCATCAGCCTTAGCCAACATCACTAGGACCACAAGCAAGCCACCCTCCTGGACACACAAGGTAAGTTAACAGGAGGGTGGCTCTGATGTATGTCATATTTGTGTGTGTGTGTCTCACTGTGTATGTGCCAGTGTGTGTATGTGTCACTGTGTGCATCTGAGTGTTTGCATGTGTATCGTGAGTGTGTATCTTGTGTGTCAGATACATACGCACACACATATACAAACTGACACACAGGTGCACATACAAACACAGATACACACACTTTGACACACAGATACATACACACACACATACGCACTGTGTATCTGCGTGCCACTTTCTGCCACTGTGTGTATTTGTGTGTACCTGACACACAGATACACACACACACACACATATACACACACAGATGCACAAGGTGTGTATCTGTGTGTCACACGCCGGCACATAAAAAAAGGTTTATGCAACACCCAATTTTTTATTTTTATTTTTTTACGGGAGAGGGATGGTGGGGTTTGTGGGTTCCATGGTGTTGGTACACTATGTCAAAGGATTCCACGGGAAAGACTAATTGGGAACCCCTGCTCTAGGCCAATTGATTTAGTCCAAACATGGACAGTGTTAATATTGATAAAGTGGAAGGGGAAATTCTGCTTTTAATGATATGTGATGATAGGCTGGACCGTAGGCAGGTAAGTGTCATAATATTGAAAAATTGTTTGACTGTTCTCTTTGGAGTGGAACTAGGCAGATTCCTACCACCATAACCACTACAGCGTAATCAAAGGATTGGAGTGCTAGAGTACCCCATTACATGTGAGAAATAACCAGCAGACATACTTTTATAGCACCCTAGCTCTATTCAATATCTTTAAACATAACACAAAATAGCCACACTTTTTTTTTTTTTTTTTTTTTTTTGCGGGATTCTGAAGCACAACCAGGCTTACCAGGCCAGCCATGATCGTGGCAACAATGTTGGTAGAAGAAGCTTAAAGATTTAATTGAAGTTTAAAAATTGTTATTTTTTTGTTTTCTTAGTGTGTGCAATTTGAAGACTTACAAAATGAGGAAAAAACAAAACTTGTATGAATATCCATTTAATTTAATTCAGCCTGGATAACATTGATTGGCTGAGGATTCTGTGGGCTAGTTAGCAGGCAATACCATTCATTCTGGACAAAATTGACATTGGTAATGCAGTACTGCACTGTTTAATTCTACATTATCAATCTATCCAATATAGTGGTGGCCTCCGTGCCATTATGATCTTTGGTTACTATACAACTGTTCCTAAATCAGGGTTGGCAACATCAAGCAGTTGTGGTTATGTTTCTTAGTGTTCCTTTCAATTTTGGCAGGTAACCTGACTGTGTATTTGACTGAGCAGTAAGTAACTCTTTGGGTCCGTGCTTTTTACAAATGTTTGCCATTTTATAAAATACGGAAGGTTTGTTTTTTTTCCATTTTTTTTTTTTTATTTATTTTTTTTTGGAAAAGTTAAGTAGAGAATGAACATAATTTGTGTTGTATCTTGGTTCACTTGAGTTTTGTAGCATTTTTTGTGTGTTGTGACTTTTTATAGTGATTAATGGTGATCTTTCTGATCTCTTTTCCAGCTTGAGCTGAGTGACAACAGAATCTCTGGAGGTTTGGATGTTCTAGCAGAAAAACTGCCCAACCTCACACATTTAAATCTCAGTGGAAATAAATTAAAAGACATTAGCACGTTGGAACCTCTGGTAAGTGTTTTATGGTGATTTGCTTTGATAGATTTATGAAGACCTCCGCTTCTCTCAGAATCCTCTTGTGAAACACCATGACCTTGTCTGTTTGCAGTTATAAATTTCCTAAAAGTTATTTTCCGATCTGTTGTAAAAGCCACTGCCAATCCCAAGTTTGTACCTGCCATGGATGCCAGTTCTTTCCCCAGCAAGCCCCGCTTTGAGTTTTACTCTTTCCCTATCTCCTCACCTGCTGGCTACCATGAGGATTCTGTCTAACTGACCCAAGTATTGTCATGTCTGAGTATACTCTCTGCACTAAGGGGCTTGATATTCATGAAACAACAAGGCATGTTGGTCATGACACTAGATTCAATGCAGCTCAAGAATTTAAAACAATATCAAGAGGAAGGGGTGATTTAACCCCTTAAGGACCAAACTTCTGGAATAAAAGGGAATCATGACATGTCACACATGTCATGTGTCCTTAAGGGGTTAAAGTGCTAGTTAGTATAAAAATCACCACTTCTAGTTTTTAATGAAGTATAAAAAAAAAAAAAAAATTGTATCTTCATCCTCTATTTATAAATATCACATTTATTGGAAGCCTTACTATAAATATAATATACTTTTATCCAAATTAACTAAGTCGTTTTTATTAAAGAGACACTACGAGCACCAAAACAACTTTAACTTAATGGACTTAAACAGTCTCCCTACACATTTCCTGTAAAGAGATCTAATAGTGTTTCCCTGTCCTTTTTAAATTATTTTGCCAGCCCTAAAAGGTTTTAATAAATAAGATTTATTTTCTCATCTTTTCTCACCATGCCTGTACCCCTGAGGCTGTCACTGCACCAGGGTGAGGCAATCATTAATAATGGCCCTGGCCAATCCAATGCTTCCACGTAGGGGGGTAGTGTGCATGCATGGCTATCGCTATGCTGCACCAATCAGTATTTTCTCATAGAAATGAATTAACTCAGTGCATCTCTTTGGGGAGCATTCAGTGTTTTCCTGAAGATGCTGGCCTTTAGTCATGCAAAGATAGCAGAACTGCACCTGGAAGCTCCATTAGAGGTATCTGTAGTAAGCAATCTAAATACTAGCTCTTCTGAGACACATGTTTTTATTAAAAAAAAAAAACGACGTGAATAAATGGCTAAAAACCCTTTTTTTTTTTTTTTTTACCTTGTCCCAGCATCGATATTCTTTTGCGATGAGTCACTGCTCCGCCTCCTCCGAGCGGGTGCATTATGCCTCCCCACAGGAAAGCATTGAATCAATGCTTTCCTATAGGGAAATAGCTGATACTGGATGTCCTCATGCAAAGCATGTGTATCTTATCCCCCATTTTTCCTATTGGTGTTTCTTGCACCCCTTGTGTGTCTTTTGCAATCCCCCTTGTGTGTCTTACTTTTCTCCAGCCTCTTTCGGTGTCTTTCTCCTCTCCCAACCCTTCTGTGTCTTTTTTCACCCTAGCCCCTAGTTCTCTCTCTCCCCTTCTCCCTCTTTTAACTTTTAACTTTTTGCCAGCCTCTTTGTGTGTCTTTCTCTCAGCCCCTTTTCTGTGTCTTCTCCCCTGCACCTTGTCTCTGCCCCCCCCAGCCCCTCGGTTTATTTGTATCCCCTTCCCCAGCACCTTGTCTCTACGCTCCAGCCCCTCTGTGCGTCTTTCTCTCCCCCCATCCAGCCCCGTTTGTGTGCTATGCTACAAGCCAGGCCTTAAAATTTACTCAGTGAATAGATGCAAAGTATTTAATCATTCAACAACTCTTTTTTTGGAATACCCATATAACAAAATTAAATGCAAGAAGATGCTCCGTAACATCTGCAGATTTATTGTAAAAATTAAGTGAACATGGCAAAAACACCTAATATAAATGTTCGAAGATTGAATAAGATTCCTTGCCAAATCCTTACATAGAAATTATGTTTGGGGTAGCGGTACTAGTATCTCTTTGAGTTTTAAGAGTTACTACTACAAGTCATAGTGTACCATCTAGAGGTGAATTTCAAGTTGCCATGACTCCTTTTAACTCACTAGTGGTGAGGGGAAATTTTGATATCGCTCCCTTTTGTCCCTTTCTCTCTCTGTATGTGTGTATATTGGTAAAGAGAAAGATTCCTACTGCAATTTTATAATATAGTTGATTCTGCTAACCCTACATGACCTTTATCCAGTTTCATCTATGTCACAGGCTTGCAGTGAATGACAAACCTGTTATACAATGGTAAATCAACAAAGGTTGGATTTGGGTGAGGCAAGTCAAGTAGAAGAGTAAACTGACAGATTGAGAGGAATCCCTATTACTGGTTTTCCTCCTTCTTCAAAGCTGCCTGTGTAGTAAAAATAAACTTTAAACAAATGATTCTGTCGGCACTTCACAGAAATTGTGCTTACTCCCAAATCCACTTGTTTCGTAGTAGCAATGGCAAACCTATGGCATGAGCATCACAAAGGCTTCTCTTCTAGCATGTGAGACGGTGGTTTGCCGTGCCAAGGGTACATTCGATGGGATCAGTAATTCTGTAAGTCACACAGGCAGAGGTGCATTGTCTCAGACTACTGCTACCCCCATCAAAATATGGCAATATATTCATGATTCCCGGGGTCGGAGCTTGGCTACTGAAGCAGCCGATCGCATGTTCCTGAAGCTCCGGGCTTCATGCTACTGAAAGCCCAATTATTGGAGCCGTTACACCTACAAGCTGGACTCTGGGAATATCACCAGTTAGCCCAGAAGACATGGGGCGCAAATCTAAAAAGCCCAAGTCAGATAGACCAAGCCTGGGGATAAATATTAGAAAACTGTAGAGGCAGACGCAGGGCGCGTGCGGACCTAAAATGGCCACCTCTCAGGAGGCTGCTCAGATTTCTCAGATGAGCTGTCTATAGAAGGTGAGGAGGAACGCGTACCTGCAATCCCGGCGCCAGACTCCGCTCCGGTCACCACCGCCGTTCTGCAAGAGCTCCAGGCAGACCTGAAAAACACCCTATAAGACTATATGGCAACGATCCGCGGAAACCTACAGGGCCTGACAGGCCGCATTGGGGTGCTGGAGGAAGCCTTCCACAAAGGCACACAGCACATAGACACACTGCAACAGGCGGTCCGAGAACTGCAAAGGCAGAACCAAACATATGAGCGCCGCTTGGCGGCACAAGAGGATATCAGACGTCTGAGCAATTTAAAAATCAGAGGGATCTTCGAGGACATTCCAGAAGCCGAATTACCACACCTAATGAGGTTGCCTTGCTGCCGCAGCAGCAGGCTAAGACTATCCCCAAATCGGCTAAAGCACTGGCTGGTGGTCCACTTCCAGAATTGAACGGACAAAGCAGCAGTCCTTGCGGCCCTCAAGGGACATCCCAATACCAATTTAAGAACATGACCATGGCTTTCTACCTGGACTTATCAAGAAGCACCCTGGCCTGATGGAGGTCCCTCAAGCCTTTAGCCTCAATCTTGCAACAAAGAAATATGTTGCAGCTGGCGCCTGTCGCGCACACTCCAGGTTATACAGACTCCACTTTCTCACTACAAGATCTTCAAGGTGCAACAGCGTTGCTGCGAGACATGGGTCTACCGCAGGACAGTCTGACCAGTAAAAACCCCACCACCGCTCCAAAACCTCCACATGCATGGAACCCGGCGAAAATCAACAAGTTCACCCTGTGACACCCCTCGTCTGACTCGTATGCGGCAGCCGCGACTTGAGAGCAGACCAACACACTACCTTACTTTAATAGCATTAGTTTTGTTTTCTCTTGTATTAATCTATCATTTTAGCTGATTGTAGCTTTTTCTCTTTGATAACCCCCCAGGCAATATAGACCGACCGATACAGACACCTGTTTATTCCCACCCCCAACTCAGGGTACTACTACCTAGCTCTAAACACTTACTAGACAAATGAGGCGTTACAATCTCCTTTATACACCCATAGCTGACACAATACCTGACAATGCATATGGTTATGTACCTCAACGCCTGATTTATCTGTTTACGTATGATGTTGCTCTTTTTCATTACACCATACTCACCTTACCCTACTTAGCCCTGGAAGGGCAATGTAGGCATCAGTGGTACAGTAGCCTGCCCTTGCCTAGCAAATGTGTTAAATGTGGTTTGCTGTTTGTATAATTCCTGTGCAAGTTCCATAACACATATTTGACTACACATATCTTACCCAAGTACACTAACACGTCAGCTCAACTCACTTAGTCTGCCAGTTTTTAAATTCACTACTCTGACCTATCTCTTACCTTAACATAAAAATTGTGCCTGTATACCAGCTGCCACACCTTTTATTGCGTATTGCATATTGAATTCCTACGTACCTTGCTACCACTGTTGTGGCATACTGAGGCTACTTGTTAATTTGTGCACGACAAAAATAAAGAATAAAAAAAAATAAATAAATAAAAATTATTCCCTGGTGGTCAGGTTGTAGTGAAGACCATATTAATCACTCCATTGCAGATTAATTTTTCAATGAGGAAGACAGCGCAGTCGCACTACCCACCTTTATTACGGACTGCAAGACCAAAAGGAAAGATTTAATATGGTCTGCACTTGGTGGAGGTGCAGAACATGCACTCCTTCACTAGACCACCAGGACATCGTTATGAAGACCACAGTGGACCCAGAGATTTATTGTTATCCCCCACTGACCACAAGGGAATCATTAATCCCCCCACTGGAGAATCTCCTCTTTGACCAAACAAAGTCAGCAGGAGAGGGGACAAAACATATTTTTTTTTTTCTATTTTATTAATGCAGGTAAATTAGCATAAACATCCAACACACATATCACAAACTGTACTGTAATCCAGCACCGGTAAAAGGAGGCCGTCACAGATCTCCCTCAGACATCACGGCAGACCTTGCACGGTCCAATTACAGGCTTCTCATAGAGGCACCTGTGATTGCACTGTTTTGCCATGTTCAGAACTCATGCGCACACTGAGCCAGGTTGGAAGTGAATTTGATTTATTTATTAGGTTATTTATTAATGGAGTGAATTTGAGGGTCCGCAGGGAGGGAAGAGTAGGCTTCCCTTTGCATATGCTCTTCCTTCAAGGGAGAATATTGTTACGCCTGTTGCCAGTGTGCAATAACGACAGATTTGACTGCCAAAGTGTTGTGTGGCGCAGGTGCAGGTAGCCGACATAACAATTAAATGTTGAAACATTTTTTGGGGTGCCTTTTTTAGATATGTAAATGGTATGGTTCTCTTTGTACTAGCACAAGTGAGCCAAAACTAGCTTAAAACCTGAGCGGAGAATTTCTGAAGGGGAATCTATTTGAGTTTGTGTCCTTTCTTACTCTCGGTTTTAGTTTGTTGCTGTCATACCTTCCAGGGTATATTTTAGCAGTATTGCACCCAACCAATAACTTCTTTCTGAAGTGGTTATGTGGCTTTTAGTGCCCCTTTTAAACTTTAATTTCTATATTTCAGTCTTGGAAGCTACTAATGGTTAAAGGGTTAACCCATATTGAGTTAACATTTTTGGCTTCCAAAGCCCTATTGGGCATTGCTAATACTGTTGGTCCTTCCCCCTTAAAATATAGAAAAGAAAAAAAAGTTAAGAGTACAGTTAATAAGACACTCCACACCCTGAAAGCACTTTGGCTTGCTGAAAAGCTTTGTGTGAAGTCATTTATTATTATTATTATATTTTTTTTTTTTTTTTTTTTTTTATTTTTTTTTTTTTTACTTTTTACAAAATAGTGCAGGTTTCAATAGAAATTGACACCTTTAGAAATTAACCTGGTTACACCCCCTTGGCTTTTAGGTTTGGTTAGCTTAGTGAAGCTAAACGCAAGATGCAGCAATTGCCCAGAGCATCTGCCTTTTCTGCGATTGAACAGCCACAGAAAGTCTGGTCTGGGTTACAACAGGAGGGCTGGTGAAGGCAGCAGACAAAAGAACTGCAGCATTTGCAAACTGTTTTTATAGATACCCAATCGGGAAAAAAAAAATACATAAAGGTATTCATGTCTCCAGTGTCACATGTGCCCAGTTGTATCTGGCCCCACCTTCACCCACTTCACACAAGTTCAAATATCTCTGAAAGTGCAGTTTCAAGCAGAAAGAAATGAAGATTGGAGTAACATTTTAATTGTGCTCAAAAAAAAAGGAAATTATGATTCTCCTTCCCCCTCACCCCCTACATTCTAAGGTTCACATTTTAAAATTAAAACATTTAGAGGTGTCCACATAGCAGGCTTGTTAATGCGCGCGCACACAGTGTGTCAAATACATAGGTTAAGTAAAGTGAGCATACCCTAGAATTATTGCAGCCCTAAATTTTTGAAGGCACCTGAACTTATTGATATCTGCATGCATTTTGTAAAACCACTTTTTTTTTATTTTTTTTTTATAATGAATATTGCCACTGGTAGTCATGTTTTCTCATCATTGTTTATTTCCAGAAAAAGTTAGAGTATCTGAAGAGTCTCGACCTGTTCAACTGTGAAGTAACAAACCTCAACGACTACAGAGAAAGTGTGTTTAAGCTCCTCCCACAGCTCACCTATTTGGATGGATATGATCAAGATGACCAGGAGGCTCCAGACTCTGATGCAGAGGCTGATGGTGATGGTGTAGATGAAGAGGAAGATGAAGGTAGATTCTTATTTCATTCACATGTACCAAACATGTTACACAGTTCTAGGTTTAAAAAAAAAACAAAGCCCATCAAGTTCAACTTTGAAATCCAATAATTTATTCTGTTGATCCAAACAAAAAACCCAAAGTGTAGCCATTTCCAATTATACCACAAAAGGGGGTGATGGGGAATTCCTTCTTGACTCCATAATGACAATCTGATTTCTCTGTGGATCAACATATGTACCACATATGTACCAATTATATCCAAAAAATATCTATTGAATCTTTAGGTAGGGGAATCATACATCTTCATTGTTCTTACTGTAAAGAATCCTTTCCTCTGCTGTAAGTGAAACCACCTTTCTTTCTGTCTCAATGGGTGACCTCTTGTCTGTTGAATATTCCTGCTAATGAACAGGTTAGCTCATAGTGATTTGTACTGACCCTGTTTATAAAGAAAGGCTAGAAAAACCAAACTTGGTTTCTTTAGAAAAAGGCACCTCAGAGAGAATATGATAGCACTATACAAATATAAATATTTTCCATCCCCATTACTAGTTTTTCAACTTGCCTCTGTACTTTTTCTAGTTTGCAGTATCATTCTTGCAGAACTTGAAATTGCACCACATATTCAAGGTGGACTCTTACCATCAATTTATAAAGAGGCAAAATTTTATTTTGATTAAGTGAATCAATACCCTTTTTTATACACAAAACCACCGTACTAGCTTCATCTTCATCTGCAGCCCAGCATTGCTTAGGTTGTGATCTATAATTGTTCCAAATTCCTTTTTATTTAATGTTATCCCTAACTCTATCCCATTTAATGTATAAGTTACTTGTGGTTCCTTATTTTAAAATGACTTTACATTTATTCGTATTAAATCTCATCTGCCACTAACCTGTCCAGTCCTTCAATTTATCCAAATCCCTCTATAGAGAAGTTATATCCTGCTCAGATGGCATTATATTACCTAGTTTTGTGTCATCTGCAAACACTTAAATAACTTTCAATGCTTGAAGATTATTTATAAAGAGATGTGGATCTATGACAGAACCCCAAGGTACACAGTTTACTACTTCTGTCCAATTTCCACTGACAACTACTCTCTGCACTCTCTTTATGCCAGTTTTCATCTAAACTAATGGATATCAATTTTAAAAGTAATGTTTTGTGTGGAATAGTGTCAAATGCCTTAGCAAAATCCAAGTAGATCATATCTATTGGATCACCCTGATTTATATTTCTACTAACTTCATAGAACACAATTCATTTAGTTTGGCTTGACCGGTCTTTCATAAAACCATGTTGATTCCTGCCAATTATATTTTTGTTCAAAATGAATTCTTGAATATTATCCCTTAACAGCCTTTCAAATAATTTCCCAGTCACAGATGTTAAGCTCACAGTTCTGTTGTTTCCAGGTTCAACTTTTGAACCCTTTTTAAGTATAGGCACCATATCTGCTTTTCTCCAATCCTCTAAAACAATTCCTGAAAGAAAAGAACCCTTAAAAATTAAAAATGGTGGAATAGATATTTCTACACTAAACTCCCTAAGAATGCGTGGGTGAATACCATCTGGCCTTGGGCTTTGTTTACATACTTTATTTCTGTAGCATTTTATCCTGTTTATCCAATCACGTTTCCTTTCGCCAATCTAGAGCCAAAAATTGTTCTTAATCTATATACTGAAGAAAATAAGTAATTTAGCATTTTTTACTTGTCCTGATCCTCCTCCAAACCCATCTCAGACTCCAGGCCAGCACTTTCACTCTTAACCTCTTTGGCATTAATGTACTTAAAAAAAAAAGAAAAGAAAAGAAAAAAAAAACAATCAAAACTTTGGGGTTGGTCTTGCTCTCTTTGGCTACAAGCATTTCATTTTCAACTTTAGCCTATATAATCTCCTTTTTGCAAGCCCTATTGGCGTGCTTTTATTTGTTATAGAATGCAATCGACCCTTCTGATTTCAATGTTTTCAACTTTCTTTTATTATTTGACTGACACTTTTAGTAAGCCACGTTTGTTCTAATATGCTTCTTTTCGATTTGATTCCCAATGGTATGTATTAAGAAATGTACTCTTTTGTAGAATTTCCTTAAAGGAACACTATAGTCATCTAAATTACTTTAGCTAAATAAAGCAGTTTTAGTGTATAGATCATTCCCCTGCAATTTCACTGCTCAATTCACTGTCATTTAGGAGTTAAATCACTTTGTTTCTGTTTATGCAGCCCTAGCCACACCTCCCCTGGCTATGATTAACAGAGCCTGCATGAAATAAAAAAAAAAACTGGTTTCACTTTCAAACAGATGTAATTTACCTTAAAGGGACACTATAGTCACCTGAACAACTTTAGCTTAATGAAGCAGTTTTGGTGTATAGAACATGCCCCTGCAGCCTCACTGCTCAATCCTCTGCCATTTAGGAGTTAAATCCCTTTGTTTATGAATCCTAGTCACACCTCCCTGCAGGTGACTTGCACAGCCTTCCATAAACACTTCCTGTAAAGAGAGTCCTATTTAGGCTTTCTTTATTGCAAGTTCTGTTTAATTAAGATTTTCTTATCCCCTGCTATGTAACTAGCTTGCTAGACCCTGCAAGAGCCTCCTGTATGTGATTAAAGTTCAATTTAGAGATTGAGATACAATTATTTAAGGTAAATTACATCTCAATCTCTAAATTGAACTTTAATCACATACAAGAGGCTCTTGCAGGGTCTAGCAAGCTAGTAACATAGCAGGGGATAAGGAAATCTTAATTAAACAGAACTTGCAATAAAGAAAGCCTAAATAGGACTCTCTTTACAGGAAGTGTTTATGGAAGACTGTGCAAGTCACATGCAGGGAGGTGTGACTAGGATTCATAAACAAAGGGATTGAGCAGTGAGGCTGCAGGGGCATGTTCTATACACCAAAACTGCTTCATTAAGCTAAAGTTGTTCAGGTGACTATAGTGTTCCTTTAAAGACCTTTGATTTATCCTATGTGTTTGCCAGTGAATAATATCTGCCAGTGGATTTGTTGTAAATATGCCATTATCCTATTGAATTTGGCCTTTTTAAAATTAAGGGTTTTTGTGCAGCCCATATGGTCCAATCAATGTCTGGATAATTAAAATCTCCAATGATTAAAAATTTGCCCAGTTATGCAGCCTTATTAATTTGAGATAGCAGTTGCTCTTCCCCAATCAGCATTAAGGTTTGTAAAATATTCCTACTATTAATGGATATCCCCTGTTTTATTCTATGCGTATTTCTACCCATAAGGCTTCCACATCCTCACATGTATCATCACAAACAATTTTTTTATTTTTTTTTTAAACGTCTTATCAGTTATGTCATGCTCTTCCTTGTATGCCAAAATCTCAAACTTCCTCGTTTTCTTACAAGTTTCCTGCATTGGCAAGCAAACATTTAAAGTCACCATTTATTTCTTGAGTTTTGTTTGAAGAACATGCATTTAATACCTTCTTGCTCTGCCTGCTAAACTTACCACTACCCCCATCTCCACCTTCCTGGACTTCAGCTAAATTCCATTTACTGTCTATATTATCTACCACATTTATCAGTCTTTTACCCTCTCCTTCTAATTTTAAGCCTTCTCCTACCTTCCAGCCATCCTCTCTGCCAGCATAAAAGGTCTTCCATTCAGGTGCATTCCATCACAATTATAATAATTGTACTCAAGTGCAGAATCGTCTCATTGCTCTAGAAAGCCAAAACATTGCTTCCTACGCCAAGACTTCAGCCACGCCTTGACCTCTCTAATCTCCCTCTGGCCTTTTAATGTAGCACATGACACGGGTAAAATCTCGGCAGGGCCGCTCTAAGTGAAAAAAGTGTTGCCACCCCATTCGTTCCACCCACTTGTGCAGACTTACCTAAACTGACCAATACACGCTCACACTGACCCCCCTCCACACACACACACACTGACCCATACACACACACACACGCTGACCCATGCAGACTGATACATACACACACACAGACCCATACAATCACACACCACACACAGACCCATACCTACATACACAAAGATACTGACTGACACACACTCTCTGAAACACGCATTGCACTTTGCTTTTTATTCCTGTCTTCTTTACTGCGCACGGCAGCCGACACTATTTTCCAAGCCCCATTTTCTCTTATTCTCCCGCCCACTTTTGCTCACATACAGGGCAAGTGGCGGGAGCGAGTGAATGACACACCCTTGCGCTGCCGCGGTGCTTGGCTGAGAGAGGGGTCCTGACTTTTCAGGCTGTAGTGAATGTCGGACCGACATTCTCCCGGGCGCTAGTCTACAAGTAAGTGCTCCTTAGCGCCCAGTACCTTAGCTGGTGGTCGCCGCGGCCTGCTCTATATAATCGATTCAACCTGTTGGGGGGGGTGGCAGAAAAGCAGTAAAGCTCCGTATATCAGGCGGCTATGCTCTAAGGGCAGCGTCACACCACTCCTTCATAAGGATATATCCTCCAATAAAGAGAAAGAAAGACCAATATGGTGTAGTATGTCAATCAAATAAATAACCAATATAAGGTAGATATTGAGCTCACCTTATCTAGAGCAAAAGGTCCTGGCTCTAAGGTATATAAGTGTAGCGCCACTATAGAGGGGAGGGCACGTCCCCAAAATGAAGATTCCTGAGGATGGATAAGATATCTTAAAATAACAAAACTATTTATTAGCAAAAAAGTTAAACGGTAAATTAAATAAAATAAATACTGTCCACACTGTATTTTGATAACTAAAATCAGCCAATACGCGTTTCACTTTCCTCTGAGCTTCTTCAGTCAGCTGTTGGTCCGTCTCGGGAATCTGCCATCTTAAATAGCATAAAGACACTCCCCTAGTAACAGCTGTAGTTAAGTTCAACCGATTGGAGTGCTTCAGGCTAACTGCCCCTTTAATTGTCTTGAATTATTAATATATTTTTACCATCTGGACTATATTTGTGTTCTGTTTTTTATGTACTGAATTTCGTACTTTATATACCTGTTATAAACAGGGGTAAGACATTCCCCATATTTTTGCACTTTAGCGCTCCACTATAGGTACAAGTGTATCTTGTACCGTTAGAAGGTGAACCCTTTGATACTTGCCCACTAAAACTGCAAATTTTAAAGTGGTGTTCTAATTATTTATTTATTATTGCCATTTATATAGCGCCAACAGATTCCGTAGCGCTTTACAATATTATGAAAGGGGATTTAACTATAAATAGGACAATTACAAATAAACTTACAGGAACAATAGGTTGAAGAGGACCCTGCTCAATCGAGCTTACATTCTATAGGAGGTGGGGTGTAAAACACATTAGGACAGGAATGTGCAATCAAATAAGGTGGGCTGCCCTTTAGGAGAGGGCAAGAGACGGGTATGTGAGGTAGGGGTTAGTCTTGGAGGCCATAAGCTTTCCTAAAGAGATGGGTTTTAAGGCACTTCTTAAAAGATGCAAGACTAGGGGAGAGTCGGATGGCGGTAGGCAGGCTATTCCATAGGAAGGGAGCCGCCCGCGAGAAGTCCTGCAAGCGCGAGTTGGCCGTACGGGTGCGGACAACGGACAGGAGGTGGTCACGGGCAGAGCGGAGAGACAGAGAAGGGACATACCTGTGGATCAGTGAGGAGATATGAGGGGCTAGAGTTGTTCAGTGCTTTATAGGTGTGAGTTAGTGCCTTGAATTGACTCCTATAGCACACAGGAAGCCAATGTAAGGACTGGCAGAGGGTTTAGGTGTGAGAGAACCGACTAGAGAGGAAAATCAGTCTAGCAGCAGCATTCATTACAGACTGTAGGGGTGCAGTACGGCTTTTGGGAAGACCATGGGTTCAAATTCCCATGGGTTCAAATTCCTACTTGGAGATAGCCTAAAAGGCAGGCTGTGTAGATAAAAGAAACAAAGCACCTGTTTATTAGACTAAAATCCTGCACGTCACTCCCTGGTATCGTATGATATAACATACAGGGAGACGAAACAAAAAAAAAAAGTTTTATATATATATATATATATATATATATAGGTTTAGTCTGTATATCTTGTTGGTCATCTGTAATGATATTACCACTGATATTATTCGGAGTGCTAAGTAATTATTTTTGAAAAAGAAAATATGTTATGTTTTTTTGTTTGAGGGGGAGGTTCTTTGACTGACCGATTCGCTTTTATTGATTTACCAATGTGAACCTATCCTTTGACAGAAATATATGGCTTTGTTTATGAACTTAATACTTGCTTCCTCTCCATCATCGACTCGAAAGTCTTCCTCGTGACACAAATACATGGGATTCCTTTCTAGCACATCTGCGTCACAAAGAGTGGCAACCTCCTCTTGAATACAATATTCATCTAGATTGCCATAAAAATAAGTATATGGATTAAATGTTTCTCCCTTTTAATTTAGTGATGCGTGTACCATAAAAGTTGCACTTGAGCCTATAATTTTAGTTTTCCGTGCTTGTAACCATCCTTTTAAAAGAAGAGATCTGGTGGTCTCATGTTTGTTTGTTTGTTTTTTCCCCAGAAGGCGAAGAGGAAGAAGACGAAGAGGAAGGTGAAGAGGAGGATGATGTAGATGAGGAAGAAGACGAGGATGATGATGAGGAAGAAGTTGGAGAAGAAGACGATGAGGAAGATGCCAGTGGAGAAGAGGTTCATAAAATATTATTTTATCTATGCATTTCATGTATATTGCATTTAGCATATTTAAAATGGTGATTGTCTCTAGACTATTGTTCATATTGGTAAAGTAAACCTTATAGGCAAACTACCTATCTTACACATATGATATGGATCTAATCTGATATTTTAAAATCATAGATAGGTTTGATGTTGATCCATTTTAGGAGGAATAATCCTGGTGTGCTATTTTGTTTAACCCCTTAACGCCGTTACGGCGTTCTATGCCGTCCCCATTTAAATGTGCTTTAAAGCTGTTACGGCAGCATAGAACGCCGTTACGGCTTTCAGCCCTTGGAGCCTCCAGCTACTTACCTCCGCTGCAATCCTCTTTGGGAGGACTGCCTGACAGCCCAGGCAGCCCTCCCCCGGCAAATCAGGCCCCCGGGGGCCATGTGATCGCTCTCAAAGAGTGATCACATGGCCTCCTATAGCTGGCTGTGGGTCTGCCAGTAGGGGGACTGTCTGGGCTGTCAGACAGTCCCCCTGCTGGTGGGATGTGTAAAAACAATAATTAAACATGTTAAAATAAATGTAATGTGTGTGTGTGTGTATGTATATGTGTATATGTATATGTATATATATATATATATATATATATATATATATATATATATATATATATATATATATATATATATATATATATATATATATAATATGTATATATATATGTATATGTATATATATGTATATATATATATACACAAAAATACTCTTGGCACTCACCCATTAAAAACTTTTTTCTTTGATGTCTTTGCCTGGGTGCAAACCTCAGCGTGGGTATATATATTTTCCATAGAAAAAAGGTGCACTCACAGGACTTCTTCCATCAGTGATTTTATTCTAAGTTGTGCATTACATTCGTAATCTTCAATCAACGTTTCGACCCCTAAAGGGTCTTTTTCAAGATCTTTCTATGGAAAATATATATATATATATATATTATGGATTTTGCTTCCCAAGCACTACCAAGCCTCAATAAGCAAACCAGTAACCAACCTCATGCTGATGAGTTGCATTAACAACGAAACAGCTGTCCATGAGTGGTTCACTGATTTTGCATCTTTTCCTATACAGTATTGTGTTTCAAGCTGTTGTACACAGCAAACATAGATTAAAAGGAATCCATGTTTAAAATGGAATGAGGCAAAAATGTGATTCTTTGTTAAACTAATTTGCATATGCCCACCCAGAATCCTTTGCGGTTGTAACATCGCTACAGTTTTGGGATTTCTGTGGGAAAAGCAAGTCTTATGGCTTGACTGGTGTGCAGATTTTTGTTTAACATTGTATTAATTATCCACAGACTTCAGGTGGAAGGGGTTTTCAATCACAATTTTTCCCCACCATAATATATATATATCATCATACGTAGTGTATTTTAATATAAGTACATATATTAGTATTAAAATACACTTAGAATGAAGTTACACATATATATATCCTTTTATATTTATATTAGTGGAAAATGTATTCAAAGTTTCCGTAATTTTCTTTTCCTGGCTATTATTCATGGCAGCATATACACATGGGTTAGCTCCTCCCCTTACAGCCGATAGGACAGGAAAACCACCAAGGTTTTAAAAGGAGGCTCCATCTCTAAGGTCCTCAGTCAGTTTACAAGCTCTACAGTACATAGATAGAGACATTAATGGGTGGGAAGTATATGCTGCCATGAATAATAGCCAGGAAAAGAAAATTATGGTAAGTATGAATAAATTTTCCACTTTCCTGGCTAATCATGGCAGCATATACACATGGGGAATACCCAGGCTTATAAAGGGAGGGACAGAATAGCCAATCAAATAATCAGAATAATTCAACATAGATAGAAGAATGAACTGAGTAAAGTACTTGAGTACCAAATTGTGCATCATAGACTGTTTTAACGAACAGTATGAAATGCCAGACAAACGTGTCTAAAGAGGTTCAAATGCTAGCTTACAAAAAGTGTCAGCAGAAACCGTTGCCATGGAAACCCACAATGCTGCAACAGCATGAGAGGAGAGTGCCCTGATACCCTCCAGCACAGGTAGAGAACGGACATGACGTCCAAATTGTGCCTCATTAATTGCTTCAATGTCCAATATGTAATGCAGGACAAACTAGTTCAAAGAGGTCCAAATGCCAACTTTACAAAGTTTCAGCAGAGACCATTGACATGGAAGCCCCAAAATCCTTTGGTACAGGTTGAGAATGGCATTGAAAGGCTCTCACTTTAGGCAGGATCTCTGGTGCTACGGATGCTTGAGTTCAATTGTTGCATACATGAAGCAAAGCACCAGGGGCATCAACGATCAATGGGCACCCTTCAGTACAGCTAGAGAATGACATAGATAAGCATTCACCATAGGCAGGATCTTCAGGTGCCAAATGCAAGACGACCATATCTGTTGAAAAGTAGTGAAAGGGGGTTCACAGGATCAAGCCTGGAGTTCACCCATTTTCCTTGCTGGGGTACCAGCCACCAGCACTTCCTGTGCCACCACCATGGAAGCTCCTTCTAGCTGTTCGAATAATGGTTTAGTCAGGGCCCGTAGGACCAGTGGTACGTCACATATTGGCTTCACCACACTCAGTGGAGGTATGATTTCAATCAATGCCTATATGAAGCTAAGTGCTCCTCTAGGGTGTTATAACACAGAACCTTTCAAGGCCTGAACAAAGGAGTAATTCCAACAGACAAAAGCATGTCAAGCTTTGTAAAGCCTGTATAGGATTGTAAGAGGATCTCAATGACGGTCTCAGGAATGCCTAATATGGACTCCCGCATCAACACCAGAACTTGAGGCTCCTGGTGTGTCAAGGGGCCTTGTAATAGGTCTGGACGTACTGGAATTTCCCTTGGAGGTTCCAGAATCATCTTATTCATCATAGGAATTAGTCGACACGGCCCTTCCACTGTCACCTTTTGCATTACCTTTTTAGGAAAGTCGAAAGCAGGAAAATATGTACATCAGACTAAAATTCTAAATTTGAGTCAGTGTATCCTGAACATGAGCATTCTGGTCCTAGCATGTAGAAAATACTTCTGGATCTGGTAGTTCCAAGAAATGGCCATCAGATCTATGTAGGGTATCAGACAAATCTGCCTCAACCCCGAGGATACGTCGTGACATGGTTGCCTTGTCCACAGTTATTCGGCTCAAGCAAACAGCCATTGTATTCTGAGCCCCTGGTTGTTCTTCTGTGCCCTGATCATTATGGGCTGGAATTCCATACAAATGAATGGAAATATTGTGCAACATGGTCCAAACACTGTGCAACCAATCTTATAAAAACTGAAATTCAAGCTAATAATTGACCAATGAGGTTCTGTTCACTGGAAAATCAGAGATCTAATCCCTCTTTTCAGCTATCAGGTAAGGTGTAACTCCACTGATGGGGACATAGTCAGAGGCTGGCTCCAATAATCTTTCTCTTGTTAAACCAAGATAGGAAGGATCTGTAAGGAATCCAGAGATGCCGTTGGGCCCATCTGACAAGTCTGCTGGTGGAAGCCAGAATTTCCTAGTAGTTGCATCTATTTTCTTGCTGTTACCAAGCAGAAATGCAGAAACTGGGAGAGAAATCCTTCACAATCTGTGGAACTGTTCCTGAGATAGGGAAAAGCAGAGCATAGAATTTTCCACTCTGGAATGTCAACCACTGAGCTGGTGTGAAACTGCTTTTCTGGATATTAAACAAGCAGCCAAACTTTAGGAGTTATGAAAGAACTATATACCTCTGTGTGCCTGCCTTCTGATGGTCTAAGACTATCAGAAGTAGATCCTCCAGATAACGGAACCAGGTGGAGTTCTGGACTCTCAATAACACTATAAGCACATATAAAGATTCTTGGGGCCGCATTGAGGCCAAATGGTAGAGCACTAACTTGGAAGTTCTCTTCTGAGCTAATGCCGAAGATCTCTGCAGATTGGACTGAAAGTAAGCATCCTTGAGATATATAGAGGTAAGGAAATTATCCTTCCAGATTGCTTGAGATATGGATCTGATTGACTCCATCCCAAAGACTCTGACATTCAGCCTCTTGTTGGCCCCTCTTAGGTCCAGTGTAGGCTTCCATGTGCTTTTCCTCTTAGCACCAGAAGAGAGGCGAAAATTGTCCCTGGAACTGCTCTTGTTCTGGGACCTAAAAAAAAAAACCACCTCTTCGTCCAGAGGCTTCTTCCTTCAGTGCTTTACCTTTTGATTCATTGGTCTTAATACTCCTGTTGGTATGGAGACTCCTGTGCCTGAAGAAAAAACTCCAGTCTATATCAATCTGGACTATGGATACCACTCAAGCCTCCAGAGTATGACAAGCCCAGGTATGTGTGATCATAAAAATGAAGCTCCTAGTACTGGAGGAGACATGTTCATTGCTGAAGAGCAAAACGACTGCTTAATAGCTCCATTAGAACCTTGAAAGGTAGGTTTACCAACTGCCATGAGTTACCTCTGGAGTATACCCTGCAGGGTCAGAAGCTCCATGTATCTCAGAAATACTGGTCACTGGAGGTTCTCCGGTCCGACTATGAGGAGCTGGGATCCTTGGAACTTCTGTCCTGAGGTACAAATATCTTTTTTTCAATGTAATTATCCAAAGTTTTCCCAAACAGCACCACCCCTTCAAATAGAATGGTGTAGAGGGCAGACTTGGAGGATGAGTCATCATCCCAGAAACAGGACCATAATGCTTTCTTAGCTGCTATAGATAAAGCCATTTGATCCAGAGAATATCCAAGGTACATCGAGGGAAGATTCTGTGAAGAAGTCAGTTGTAACCTGAAGACTTCAGACTGCCTCTTCAATCTTGGCTCTTAATCTCTCTCTCCATAGTAGCCTTTAGATCTTAAATCACATATTTCATGTTTGTAGAAACAGCAACGGAAGTCACAGCTGGCTGGAATCCTGCAATGGTAGGCGTAAGATTTTGGACAGGTCTGCGTCCACCTATTGTCCATAAGTTTGCAACTTAGGTGGTGTAGTTCTGGGGTTGGAAATAACTTCCTCCACAGTGTAAAGCCTGGCCTCTTTTCTTACCCTTAAGGCCTCTGGAATTTACTTTGTAAGCCCTGCCCGCATGTCATGTGGCTGCACAGTGATGGTGATGGTCATGCTGAAGCGACAACCTTCTGGAGGCAGTCAGTGCATAACCGATTCCTTCCACTGTTTTCTCCTCATAACCAGATCCAGGTGAAGAATCGGACATCTGACAAAAAATAACTAAATATTACCTGTGGTAAAATATTAAGTAAAAAAGTGCACTGTTAAATTCTATAAGAAACCAGTGAAACAGCTTTAAAACAGGCTGAAAACAGTACTTATCCATGTCTGGAGACCCTGCAAATACTTACCAAATTAGTGTGGTATGATTACTGTAATTTTCCCTTTATTTTAGGAACTTTCTACACAAAAAACAAATATGAATGCTAACTTTGGCCAGTGTTTGTGACTAAGTGGCTACTACAAAAGACTGGACATACCACACTTGCAATACCTTGGGTTGTGTACTTTTGCAAATGTGTACTTTTTGTTGTTAAACATTTTGGACGGGGACCTAGATTATGAACATACAAAGAAAGTCACCCATCAGTTGGCTTGTTCAGTGTTGTTAAAAAGTAAATAAAATGGAGGATCATGCTGCTCCTACTGAGGCATTGTATGTCACCAGGGACAGACAACCCATGTGTTTCTTAACCCTTTTCCAACAAAGGACGTGCTATGCCACTTTATCGCTGTAAGACAACATAGCACGCCAATTAAAACACAGTCAATATGAGAATTTCATTAAGATGTTATGAAATGCCCATATTTCTGCCTTAAGCAGAGGTTACTTCTCTCCCTTCTTGTCCATGTAGACAAGTCGTGTGTGTGTGTGTGTGTGTGTGTGTGTGTGTGTGTGTGTGTGTATATTTATATATTTATGCAATATTTGTTTTGCCTGTTTTTTTTAAGATATCCTTGATAGACATTGGTCTTATCATTAGGTTTTCCATTTCTCTGAGGAAGGCAGCGCTGCTACAGAAAATAACTTGCAAGGAGAATTCCAGTTTAACTATTTTGACCTTGGAATTTCAGTCCGCTATGTTTAGTTTGGCTACTCTGGACTTGATTTTGAAATTCAGTTTTGAATTCTCATTTTAGTAATTTTGAGGGTTTGTTTGGTAGTTCTCTGGGTGTTGAAGAGTGATGTGCCTTCTTTAATCGCAGGGGAACCAATTTTAGGTCATGATCCATGGATTAACAATTACTGGTCCAATCGTTTCTAGTACGACTTTGGCTCTAATTAGTACTTCCTTTAGAATATAAGCCAGTTACTCCTTTTTATCTTTCTTTAGGAAGAAGATTTTGGTCATGACGGAGAAGTAGACGAGGAGGAAGAAGACGAAGAGGAAGATGATGATGAAGGTTGGTGTAGAGCCATAAATTATAGAAGTAGATATACCAGATATAAAAAAAACAAATGCATGATTCAATTTGCACGAAATTGTGCCCAGTTTGACCAGATATTTGTGGCAACAACACTTAGACTCCTGACTCACATTGAATAAAGTTGGCAAATACATTTTTAACACTCTGCACTAGAGAGAAATAATACATTTTAAAGTTGTTAGCTCATTACAGCAAGATGTGAATGATTGCTCTTAAAATATGGACATATTGTCACAATTTGATTTTAAAGGCACTGTAGGCACCATTTCAAGCAGTCTTAACGATAAATAAGGGACGCTGGCCACCCACAGTCTTGCAACCTACTATAGGTTTAGCAAAGGTAGAGAATACACCTTTCCTTCTAGTGATACCAATTCATACCAGCAATGGTCTCTCTGATATGCTTAAAGTGGTCAGCAGACACACTGGCCAATCACAGCTGCCTAATGCTGCTCAGGCTCATTAGCCCATGAAGCACAGGGGGGTTGGGCTGCTTGAGACTCTTGTTTAGCATTAAAACATTAAAAACAGTTTAACACTGAGTGAAAGGATGGTGCTGGTAGACTTTAGGCACTATAACCACTTCAGTGAGTAGTTACAGCAGGTAAACTGATATATGTAGGAAGACAAACACAATGTCCACCTATGATTTAGTTTATCGTAGAAATTCACATTTAAAAATGGTATACACTGATTACACATTATAAGCATGGGTTTTAAGTTAGCCACTGTACAGAGGGTTACTGGTCCTTTTAGTTTGTGTTCTGTTCTCCATCTCCACGCCATTCCTGCTGGTGTCCTGCCTGTGTCACTTCCTTTTGCCAAATGTTCACTGTAATGGCTTCCAAGGTGGAGTTACAGAGTTCTGAAAGTTATAGCTTGCAGGATTCAGCAAGGGCAAAATGCTGTGATCACAGAGAAGATTTTGAAGTTTATGCTGCCAAAGAAAGACCCCACCACTAACAATATTTAAAATAAAAGGTGTTTTTTTTACAAACTAAAACCCTAGACCTGTCTAATATGCAAAACTGGTTTCCGAATTTTATATGGTGCATAGTGGAAATGGTACATAATGAAGGCCATGACCTAGCAGTAGTTTTACCATCAGTGCCTTTTCTCTGAAAAGGCAGTGTGTTTACTTTAAAAAGCCTGCAGGGACAGGCAATAGACACCAGAACCACTACATTAAGCTGCTGTTCTTGTGACTAAAGTGTCCATTTAAGCTAAACTTGCCAATGCTACCAGCTAAACCAGTTTGGAATTCACCAGAGGAAATTTTTAGGCCAAACAATTCACTTTTTAGAGAAAGTCACAGTAAGTTTGCCTGCTTCCCAGTTGAGGCATTACACATGCAACTTTTTTTTTTTTCTTTCTTTCTCATCTGCATATGGAAATTGCTACATATCCTGTCTACTTCTCTGCTAATGATGTCTGTTTTTGGTTCTGTAGACGAAGATGAACCTAAAAAGGGAGAGAAAAGGAAGAGAGACACAGATGATGATGGTGATGAAGAGGAGGACTAGAGGATGGACAAAAAGAGATCAAAAAAAGGAAGAAAAAAAAAATGAAAAAAGGACCTTAATGGATAATGCAGTATTGATTTAAACTGGCCCCACACATGGATTTCCAATAATCGAGCTGATATACAGGTTGCAAAAAGGTCGTAGCAATTAAACAAGCCCCCATCCTTGATCACCCAGAAGCCAAAGAGTCGTTACTGTGACATTCCTACAGCCAATAAACCCCTACTGGAAGCTTACAACATGGTTTATACTTAAGTTTCAAAAAGCAAAAAAAAATATATATATATATATATATAGATAAAATATATACCAAACTTTCAGCTAAACAAACTTGGTCAATGCTTTTACTATTATGTTGGGGTTCTGAAGGGTTTCTGAGTTAGAACACTGAGGGTGTAATTGGTGAGTCATGATTGTCAATGGCTACCTGTTAAATAGAGGTTGAAGCACCATTTTTACTTTCTGTACAACAACGGAAAAAAAGAAGAAAAAAATACCTTTGTAAATAAAATCTTAACATTTTGGGTCTGTTTTTCATGCTTTGCTTTTTTTATTTTCTTCTTTTTTTTTTCTAACAGTTCAATATTTTTTTATAGTAGGATGTTTTTTGCGACAACTACAGATGATAAAGTATTTTTTAAGAACATGAGTGAAATAAACATGTTGCTATTTGGTAAACTCTAGTTGTATGTTTACGTTTCTGAATGAGAATTTAAATTATTTTAATGGTGTAGTCCCACTGAATGAATCCAATATAACGTACAGTTTATAGAATAAATGTTTATATATTAAAGTTTACAATGTAATATGATTTATTTTTTTTTGCTTATATTTTCAGCATAATTGAACACTTGAGCTTATATTCCTTGAGACATATTTTTCTTTGTTCAAGTTATGGTACCCATATAATTAAAATGCAGTGCAACGTAGAATTTCCTATTTGACATCACGTCACACACAGACATGCTAAAATTCTGTTGAGAAAAGCATATATGTTTTAAATACGTGTAACAAATTGGTGTAAAAATGCATTCATGACAAAAGCTATGCAATTTATCAGTTAAATCATGTTTACACTTCCTTTATTGCAAATTCAGTTTAATTTAGAATGTATTATCTCCTGCTATGCTAATAGTTGGCTAGAACCTGCAGGAGCCTCCTGTGTGTGATTTAAAGCTCAATTTACAGAGCAGGAGATACAAACTTTTAAAGTAAGTAACATCTGATTGAAAATGAAACCATTTTCTTTTCACTCAGGCTGTGTCATTCACTGCTGAGAGAGGTGTGACTAGGTCTGCATAAACCGAAATAAAAGTGATTTAACTCATAAATGGCAGAGAATTGAGCAGTGAGACTGCAGGGACATGATCTATACACCAAAACTACTTCACACTGGCATAAGTATTTAGACCCTTCACTTTGTACTTTGGCAGCGATTACAGTCTTGTGTTTTTGGGTAAGATGTGACAAATGATTTGTTGGGTTAGTTTCAGACATTTATCTCTGTAGATCCTCTCAAGCGCAGTCTGTTATGGGTACTGATGCACAGCCATTTTTAGGCCTATCTTAAGATGTTTCATTGGGTACAAGTCTGGGCACTGACTGAATCACTCAAGGATATTAACAGAGAGTTGCCCCTAAGACATTCTTACACTGTCTTAGCTGTGTGCTAAAGGTAATTGCCCTATTGCCCAGTGTGAGGTCCTGAGTGCCCTGGACTAAGTTTATAAAGTATAACCCTGACCAGTCTCCAGTCCCTGTTGTTTCAAATGGCTTCCATTTAAGCATTATTGAGGCCACTGTGCTCTTAGAAACCTTCGATGAAGCCATTTTTTTTGTAGCCTTCCCAAGATCTGTGCCTCAACACAATCCTCTCGGAACACTGCAGGCAGGTCCTTTTAACTCATTGGTTGGTTTTTGCTCTGACATGCATCTACAGTTGTGAGACATTTATATAGACATGTGTATGTCTTTCCAAACCATGTCCAATTGAGTTTGCCACAGGTGAACTCCAGTTTAAATGTGTAGAAACATCTAAAAAATTATCCAGAGGGATCGGAGCTAGACGTAAGCATCCTAGCAAAGGATCTTGATATATCACATTGGCATGAATATTCATTTTTATTGTATTTTTTTTTTACATTTTCAGAGTTTTCAAAAGCATAATTGATGTGGGAATAAAAAAAATAAATTAGCCAGCGCCTGCACGGGTTGGACGCACATAGAGAGACTGCTTTCTTAGCTTACCCCGATAAGTCACTGGCCCCGCTATCTCTCTAAGAGGGTACCAGCCAGATGCCCAGCGATATGGGGGAAAAAGACCAAGAAGCAATGAGCAGACCCGGTCTCGGAATCCAGCAATATAGGGGACTTTATCCGCACGACCCCGCAGCCGGAATCGGCCAAATGGCGCTGGCTTGGGCCTACACATGCATGTTGTCTGATGATGACAGTGCCACCGCTGACTTCTTTTCTCCATCTCGGCCATGCTCAGCACTACAGACAGCTGCAGAGTTGGAGGATTCTGCTCCATGACTAAAGCAAATATCAGGGCACTAAATACAGAAATCAAGACTGTTCAATCAAAGTATACGTAGAATGATATTGATTAAATATAATTATATATCTTTATATATAATATAAAATATGTATGTAAATACGTTAAAAATAAAATTAAATAAATAAAAAAATGTGTAATTTCGTTCTAGCTGTATTTTAACATTTATATATAGATATAGATATCAAAATACACGTAGAACGAAATAATATATATCTATATACATAAGTATATACGTATATATCACTATATATAGACCTATACAGAAACAAAAATAATTGTAAAAAATATATATATATTATGTTAAGCAAAGTCTCCCGAGTATAACAGTACCCCTCATGTACAGGTTTTATGGTGTTTTCAAAAGTTACAGAGTGAAATATAAGGCTTGCGTTTCAGTTTTTTCACATTGAAATTTGCCAGATTGGTTACGTTGCCTTTGAGACCATATGGTAGCCCAGGAATGAAAATTACCCCCTCACTGGCATACCATTTGCAATAGTAGACAACCCAAGGTATTGCAAATGGGGTATGTCCAGTCTTTTTTTAGTAGCCACTTAGTCACAAACACTGGCCACAATTGGCATTCAAATTAGTTTTTTGCATTTTACACACACAAACAAATATTAACGCTAACTTTGGCCAGTGTTTCTAGCTAAAAAATAGGCAATACCTTGAGTTGTCGACTATTGCAAATGGTTTGCCATCATGGGGATAATTCTCAATCCTGGGATACCATACAGTCTTAAAGGCAACGTAACCAATCTGGCGAATTTCAATGTGAATGTTACATGCTATATTTGACCCTGCAACTTCCCAAAACACCATAAAACCGGTACATAGGGTGTACTGTTTTACACTTGAGATATCGCTGAATACAAATATGTGTATTTTATTGCAGTAAAAGCAAACAGTATTATAGCATTCACAATTAGAATAATATTTTATTCATATTAAATTATGTTTCATACCTAAATATTTAATGTTAAATGAAAGCCGTGTTTCCCCTGAATAAATGATATATAATAAGTGTGGGTGCGCATAATATGAAAGAAGCGAATTATGCCTGAACAGACATAGCGCAAATTCAAGTTTTTGTTTACGTTTTGTTTTGATCACAACATGTACATTTGACTCAGTCCTTAACCCCTTGACAACCGATGACAATTCAGGACCGTCATCGGAAACATCCCCTTGAGGACCAATGACGGTCCTGAACCGTCATAACGTCTTAGGTGTACTTACCTTATCAGCATCCTCCGGGTCCAGGGGGACTGCCTGTCTGCCCAGGCAGTCTACCCGCGGCAGATCAGAACCCCACGGTCACGTGATAGCTCGATCACATGACCGCAATAAGTGTCTGTGTATCTGCCTGCAGGAAGACTGTCTGTGCTGACAGGCAGTCTCCCTGCAAGTAGAAAATCATAAAATAAAGTTAAAAAAAATAATTAAATCTATGTAAAAAAATGTGTGTATATATATATATATATATATACATGTATTATATCTATATATATAATGTCATACTAAGTATATTTTTATATTTATATATACATATATTAATATAAAAATACATGTATAATTAAATTACACACGTTATATACTAGATATAATAACTATATATTGTATATTTATTATAAAATATAAATAATACGTATATAAAAATAAATTTTAAAATAATTTTTAATAATTTGAAACAATTATATATATATATATATATGTAATTTTATTCTAACGGTATTTTGATATTAACATATATATTTATATCAAAATACACTTCGAATGAAATTATATATATTCATATATATATATAATGAAATTATATATATATATATCTATGTATAAAAAAATTAAAATAATATGAAATATACATAATTACATAAATAATTTTATAAATAAATGTATATATATTTAAATTCTATGTGCATATTTATGTAATATTATACATAATTAAGTCATTTTACTGATTGCAATTTGAGGGACATGCCTGAGAACCCAGGCCGAAAGTCCAGAGAATTTAATTTGCTAGCACTATGTTTAACCCTGTAACTTTCTATGACACCCTAAAACCTGTACAAGGGGCTACTGTTTTACTTGGGAGACTTCGCTGAACACACAAATGAGTCTCAAAACAGTAAAACATCACAGCGATGATATGGTCAGTGAAAGTGAAGTTCTTTGCATTTTTCACACACAAATGACACTTTCACTGATGATATTATTGCTGTGATAGGTTTTACTGTTCTGAAACACTATTATTTGTGTTCAGCGAAGTCTCCCGAGTATAACAGTGCCCCACATGTAGAGGTTTTATAGTGCTTTTGAAAGTTACAGGATCAATTATAAGGCTTAATTTTTTTCCATTGAAATTTGTCAGATTGGTAAAGTTGCCTTTGAGAGCGTATGGTAGCCCAGGAATGAGAATTACCCCCATGACGGCATACCATTTGCAAAAGAAGACAAACAAAGGTATTGCAAATGGGGTATGTTCAGCCTTTTTTAGTAGCCACTTAGTCACAAACACTGGCCAAAGTTAGCGTTTTTTGCATTTTTAACATACAAACAAATATAAATGCTAACTTTGGCCAGTGTTTGTGACTAAGTGGCTACTAAAAAAGACTGACCATACCCCATATTAAATACCCTGAGTTGTCTACTTTAAAAAAATATGTACATGTGGGGTGTGATTCAGGGATTTATGACAGATAACAGTGTTACAATGTCACTATTGATAAATGTAAAATATATATATATTGAAAGAGCAATTTCCTACTTGTACTTATAGCCCTATAACTTGCAAAAAAAGCATGTAAATACTGGTTGTTTTTAACCCCTTAATGCCGTTATGGCGTTCTGTGCCGTCCCGCATTAATTGGGCTTTAAAGCCGTTGCAGCGGCATAGAACGCTGTAGCGGCTTTGAGCCCTGGAGCTCCCGGAATACTTACCATGGCCCCCTATAGCTGGCTGTGGATCTGCCAGCAGGGGGACTGTCTGAAATGTCAGACAGTCCCCCTGCTGGTGGGAAATGAAAAAAAATATTATTAAACATGTTATAAAATAAATATATTTATAAATATATATATATAATATATATACATATTATATATATGTAACGTCATACGTAATGTATTTTAATATTGATATAAGTACATATATTAGTATTAAAATACACTTAGAATGACGTTACATATATATAAT